GCATGGAGGCAGGAAAAATAGAACAGTGCTTTTTAACTGTGAGTTTGCAAAACAATCACCCGGAAGTCTCATTTAAAAAAAAAAAAAAACAGATTTGTAGAATTGGAATTATAGATCAATTGTAAAGCACTTGCCTAGTATATGTGAGAGGCCCAGGGTTCATTCCCCAGCAACACAAACACACACACACACACACACAAACACACACACAAAATAGATTCCTGGGCCCTATCCCTAGAGTCTTATTCAGTAAGTCTGTCTTGATCATTTGCATTTTAACAACTTCCAGGGGACTTGGTTGCTGGATACTTTAAATATTAAGTTTCTAGTTAACTTCTGAGCAGAGGCAGTTGAGATGTGTTCACTGTTCTCACCAGTAGCCTTATCTTTAAGAACAGAACCCCCCCCCCAAAAAAAAAAAAAAATTAAGGAGGAGGATGCTAAGTCATCCCTTGGGAGAAAAATCACATGGTCAACTTAGTAGGTGCCATGGGGTCTCTGTTCTTGTTTGCATTGATAATATGCTTTTGGACTAAACTAAAAGAAATGCTGCTGGAACAAAAGCTACAGATAAAGTTGAGATGAAGGGGCAAGAATTCTGCCTGAAGTGGAGCTGACTGCATAATCATGGGACTGGTTATCAAAGGAACTAGTCCTCTAAGGACAGAAAACCTATTTGTGCATAGAAAAAGGTTAGAAAGGAAATAAAGCAAATTGTTGGTGGCTCTCTCTTCATATGCATCATGAGATTTGGGGTGAATTGTATTTTTTGCTATATCTGTCTCTCTTTTACATTTTCCTACAAAGAGGACTTAAATGTTTTCATTACCAGGAAGGAAAAAACATATTTTTTTTTCTTAGTGTAATTTCATATGATTTTGGTCTAGTTCTGTTAGGTTGGTATTTCTTTACATTCTTCTCATGGGAAAGGCCTTCTTTCTGCCTGTGACAGTTCTAGTGTTCTGATGGCCCTAGAGATAGCTGAAGGCAAGGCCCAGACATTTGCCTGCAATCTGGATGCTGGCCGCATGAGGAAAGTAAGGTTGATAAGGTTGAGGAATCTTAGAGCAGAGGTCTGAAGTTCCCAGGAATTAGAAGCATCCCCCATTTCTCCCCCTCCCCACAAATGACCCCATACAAGGTATCTTGAAGGATCTTCCCTGCCCCTGCTTCAAAGGGTTGAAATAAGCTTTAAGTGAATGTAGAAAAAGTTAAAAAGGTTAAAAATGAGAGAACAAGAGGCATAGTTCAGTGGTACAGTGCATGGTTAGCATTCTCTAGACCTCTGTCCCATCCCCAAGCACCAAAGAATGCTAAAAAATAAAATAGAAAATAAGAGAAGACTGCTGGGAAAGTGGGGAAGCCACAGCCATGTGGACATCAGATCTGATTCCCTGCCATGATCTGGTTCCCCAATGCCTGAACTACAAGTGTCTATTGAGGATGGCTGGACCAGAAGGAAGGCACCCAGTGTGGCAGAAATCATCTCGTAGGCCTGACTTCACGGAACCAATGCTGGTGTGTGTGTGTGGGGTGGGGGGTGGGGGGCGAGGGGGGAGTAAAAGAAGCATCCTAATTGATTGTCATGCCAGCTTATTTTCAGCAATTCCAAAAACATATCTAAGTTGCCATATTTTGCTTTTGTGAATCTGGAAAAGGTCAAAGTTGATAGGTATATAGTTCACACCTGGCAAAACTTTCCACCAAAACTAGGACTCTACTGACATCTGCTGGCATATCATCTACTTTATGTTTAAAAAGAACAAAATAAGACAAAGAAGCTTTCACTTTTTTTTTTTTTCCCTACAGTCCTTTGACCATAGCTAAGTGGGTTTGACCTGAATAATCATAGAAAGAAAAGTCTGAAGGGACCTTTTCCATGTCATAGAGGAAGAGGTGTGGACAGGTCATTGAGTGAATATATGCCCTATAGGAAGGGCCTGCAAGCTGCAGAGTTCTTACTGCCCTCTGCTGTAAGCCAGCTTCTCTGTGACCTGAAGCAAGGCCCTCAGCCTTTCTTTCATCATAGGGAGAACTAAGCAATACTTCTCTCATTATCCTTTAGGGCCTCTGAGGATTCTGGTGGCATTTGCTACTAACTAAAGCCTGGGCCCTGACATTGGATGGAAGTAATGACTTTAAAGGCCATTCTCAGTTACATTTTCATTCAGATAAACAAGATTCTTTACCAGTATTGTGTTTTCAAAAGATGAAAGCTATTTAAGCCTCCACAAAGCCCACCATCTCTGGAATTTATCCCTAAAAACAACAACATTTAAAAGATCAGGGAGGAGGGGGAAAACAGGCACTCTTCTCTCTGAATTGTCCACATTTTGGCCCTAGGAAACTATGAACCTCATTCTGTTTTGGAACATGTCATAAGCCTTCAGGTTGAGAAAACACTTCCCAGTTAATGCCAACCAAATTATTTGTGCTTTTTCTGTCTGGTCTTGGGAAACTGTGTGGGCCTGTGGTTTGTTAGACCAATAACAGGATATTTGATAATCTCCAGGGAGTTACAGTCCACATTTAGCCTGACAGAGGAAGAGAGGTCTGATGATGAAAAATAAGGGAGGCGTTTCTTTCACGCTACTATTTTATTTCTTCCTCCTCCCTCAGAATTCTGACCTCACCTTCAGGTTTGCTGAGGCTTCTGATGCTATTCATGGTTCTCAGGAAACTGGACTTTGCTAGTTGTAAAAGGAGATTTACGTCTTCAAGCTCCCAACTCTTCCCCCAGAAAGCTGTTAGGAATGACTGGAGCACAAAAGAAGCAGGAAAAACCCTGTGAGCTTCATACCCATCAGGATGGCTGCATTCAAAAACCAAAGAAAATAGCAAGTGAGCATATACGGAAAAAAACCAGAACCCTTGTGCATTGTTGGTAGGAATGTGAGATGGTACAACTTCCATGGAAAAACAGTTTGGTGGTTCCTCAAAAAATAAACACAAAATCACCATATGATCCAACAATTCCACTTCTCAACCGTTACCCCAAAGAATTGAAAGCAGGGCTAGAGATACTCATGTACCAGTATTCATAGCAGCGTTAACCATAAGAGCCAGAGTAGAAGTAACCTACGTGTCCATTGATAGACAAATAAATAAGCAAAATATGAAATATACCGCAATGGAATATTTTTCATCCACAAAAATGCAGAAAATTCTAAATATACTAAAGCATAGAGCGAGGTTGAGGACAATATTCAGAGTGAAACAAGCCAAAAGAACACATCCTTTATAATTTCACTTATTTGAGATATCCAGAGTAGTTGAAATTATAGAGACAGAAAGTAGAATGGTGGCAGGGGCTGGGGGTGGGGTGGTGCTCATCTGTAATCCCATCACCCAGGAGACTGAGTTCAAGGTCAGTCTAGGCAATTTAGTGAGACCCTATCTTAAAATTTAAAAAAAGAAAGAGAGAGAGAAAGAGGGAAGGAAGGAAGGAAGAAAAGAAGGAAGGAAGGGAAGGAGGAATGGGATGTAACTCAGTGATAGAGCACCTCTGGGTTCAGTACCCAGTAACACACACATACACACACACACACATAAACACATACACACATAGAATGGTGGTCAACAAGGACTTGGGGAACACGGGGATGGGAAATTACTGTTAAAAGGGTAATGTTGCATTTTTTCATGATGAAAACCATTGTGGCCATATATCGTGTTGGTGGCAGCACAATATGCTGAATGGAATTAATGCCACCGAACTATTCACTTGAAACGATTAGGCTTTATATTGTATATATTTTAACACAATTAAAATTAACAGAAGCTAAATAGCAAAACCAAATATACACTCATAGTTCAGTCATCACCTGTGGCCCTTGCAAGGATTAAATCGCTTGACCATGATAAACCTGGTTGTACTGTGCTGGACTGTCCAACAGAAACATCTGTGATGATGGAAATGTTCCTATTTGTACTCTCCAGTATGATAGTCATCAGTCCCACGTTAGCTTTTGAGCATCTGAAATATGACTAGTGCAACTGAGATGCTGAATTTTATATCTATTTCATTTAAATTCAAAGAGACATATGTGAACGTTGCAGGTAGTATTTCCATCTATATGGCTGTCTCTTCCAAAATACATTTCCTTTATTAGCACTGACCAGTAAACCTAAGCACTCAGACTATAAGTCTAAGAAGGTGAAGGTAAGGAAGCTGCTTAGGTGTGAGCCATGGTTCTATTTGACCCACAATACCAATTTGTTGCAGTGCATTTTATTGAGGGTGTGATGCTCTGACAGCATTCGTTGGCATCAGTTACTGGATCCAAAAACAGTTTGCCTTAGTTCATGGAATAGCTTTTTCTAGTAAAATGCCCTTTTAGAGAGCTAGATTCCTTCTCTGCCAGGCTCAATCTTCCTTCACCTTCCCTTGTAAATCCATGGAGTGATGGTATGAACCACAACTGAGGTCCAAGTCCTTATACAGAAATTGTCTGAGCACATCACTCACTGCTTGGTTCGGGTACCCAGGCAATCAAAGCTTTTTTGGAAAACATGGACAGGTAAAATACATAACAAACAGAGATTAAAAGAATCATACAATGGAAGGACCCCTATGAATTCATGCTCTAAAACAGGAATAGGGAGATAGGTCATCATGTATTATATAATATTGCTTAGGAAGATCTGAGATTGCCAGCAACAAAAAGAGGGCCTATATTTAAAGAGACTGCAAATAGAAAGTTTAAAAACTCAACCAGTGGGCAGCATTCCTTTGTGGCAACCCTGTATTTTATGGGACTATAGATGCCACATTTATCTTCATGCAAATAAAAAGTATCCTTTTATTAAAGGATAAAAATGAGTGTACAAAATGTAGATAGCTATGTGGCAGGAAGGGGATAAATGAAACGTTTTTGTTTTTATTACACAAAATGAACATAGGCTGTCTGATTTTTTAAAATGAATAAATAAATAAAACACCTTATTTTGCTGCAACATATTTGCTCACGAAGAGACATTTTTTTTTTTCTTTCTTTCAGCAATGGGTAGAAGGCCTGAGATCAATCATACACAACTTCAGGGCCAACAACGTCAGTCCAATGACCTGCCTCAAGAAACAGTGAGTTTTGTTTGCATCATCCTTTGTTCTTGGAAATTATCAAGCAGTGGTCACCTTAGGAGATGAAGCCTAAGTATCTTGTCAGGCCAATTCCTGCCTGCCTTCCCCCTCCACTTTCCTGACCTTGGACCATGAGCTGACCAACACAAATCTACACTCTTCATACAATCTAGCACAGCACTCATCATGAACCTTTAGCCCCAAGCCTAGGGGAAACATGTGGTTGATTGCCAAAAGCTACAAGAACTTCAGCCACTCTGTAGCCTATGATTTTTATATCTTCAGTTTCCTGATAGGTAGTTCTGCATGCCTGGGGCCCATAACTGGGTACCAGAGTAGCTCAACCTCCACTTCAGAAACAAATGAGGAGCATGGCAGAGAGAAACATGTGCAGAAACAGCCTTGGCTATGGTGAAAAAAGAAGGCCCTGGCCCCTGGTCTAATGCCTGCCGTTGAGCCACAATCAAGGATCCACACATCCTTGTGAATTTCTTTCTAAAATTCAGTCAAGGATTCAGTCAAGGATTCAGTCAAGGATCCTGAGGTCTTACCCCAGCTCATTTCATCTAAAATCCAGAGGAGTATTGCAGTGGTAGATTTTAACCCTACTCAAACTAGTCTTTCAAGGTGACATGAAAATTCTCCAAGAAGAAATCCTAGCCAAAGTCCAATGTTAGCCTTTTTGAAAAGCAGTGGATCCATAAGGGTATGAGGTTGCCTGCATGTATAGAACTATCGGTAGAGTCTGTGAGGTGCCAAAAGGAATCACATGGAGAAATTGTGGGGATGCGTTCCCCATCTCTCAAAACTAGGCTGTGGCATCAACAGTGTGATTCAGTGACTCATCGTTCCTGTTTGGTAGTGGGCAAACAGGCCAGTCCTAAGGCATTCTCAGTCTTCACTTCATGGTTATACCACAGATATGGATCTGGGCTATGGACCCCAGCTTTGCCACTTCAGGCAATTTCTCAGCTTCATTTTTCCCATCTGGGAATTAAAATTACTATGAAGGTAAAATTGGAAAGCACCTAGCCCAGTACCTGGCTTCCAGTCACTCCTCATGCAATACTAGTTACTTGAATGTTATAGTATCCCTCCAACTTTCTCTCCATCATCATAGTGGAGGGAACTTATATAGTTTTGTAAATTCCTATTTGCTGTTTAGCAGCCTTTTTTTTTTTCCTTACAGTGACTCTGGCATATTTTTTCTTTTTCCTTTCTTTTCTTTTCTTTCTTTTTTTTTTTTCTTAAAGAGAAGCTTAATGGAAATTTCAGTGTTGTGACTTTGGTTACTGATAGTCTCAAAGGATCAAAGACTTCGGAAGGCTCATTGATACTTAGTGACACAAATATTCATATCCGGACACCAAATCTTCCAGCATCCTGTCCAGACACCTTTGTGGAGCTGGTGTTGACCCATCCACCAGCAGCTCAGACCTGTCCACTTCTCCAGAGATTACCCTCTGCTAAGTGGAAGCCTCCATGCCCAGGAGATGATGCTCCTGTCTCCCTCTAAGGGGAAGCCTAAAGCCAATAGCAGGCTGAAACAGGGAACGAAAGGCCATCCCTGTGCCACCAAGGCTGGTGCATGTCACAGAAGATGAGGCTAAAGCTCCATCTAAGACTACAGCTTTGCTTAACCATCTTCCCTGCCCAATCTTCCTTCCTCACTCTCTTTTCCTGAAAATATCTTCTAAAGAATTGGTCACTTGTTTTTCCAAGAAACTTGACCAAAACCAGAAACTTTACTAAGTCCTGATGTTCTGTGGATGCTTAGGATATTATTAACTGGAAACAGTGAGAATGGAAGTCATTAGCTAAGAACCATCCTAGTTCTACAATATAAACAGATGTTTTAGGTCCTCATGTAGCCCATGAGCATAGGGAGAACACAGAGTTACCCAACATTATGATGACCTTCTCTGACCATTGAAGGTTAAGGAAGGCGGAGCTTTGATCTATGTTATGATACTGGGATCCTGGAGTGATGGATCCTCATGGGTCCTCAGGACAATGCTGGCTGGTATCACTGTTCATTTGCATTTTCTGTCACATTGGTATATTAGTAAAGTACAAGAATTAAGGATGAGGTCAATCACAAATAAGTACTGGCAGTATGTTTTGCTCAGTTTAAGCATCCAATTTTATGGTTCATCTAGGTTTACCAGATAAAACATTGGTTCCTCAGTTAATTGAATTTTAGATAAGTAACAGATAATGTTTTACTATGTTTTCCAAGTATTATACAGGACATACTTACACAAAAAATGTTATGCTACCTGTCTGAAATTCAAATTTAACTGAAGGTTCTATGTTTTTATCTACCAGATCTGATAGTCCCGAATTCATCTCATACTACATAATTATCTGAGATTTTTAGGACAGATGTTTTTGTTGGAATACATTTTGTTTTAAAGTTCTTCATTGGATTGAAGCTGTTCCTTCTAATAAACAGTATTGCTGTTGTTGTTTTCCAGCTGGATGAAATTGGCATTTATGACCAACACAACTGGTAAAATTCCAGTTAGGAGGTAAGTCAGTTATTCTTGGCCATGCTCCATGATACCAAACCAAAGACAGAGCTCTCTGAAAGTATTGTGTGTTAATTGCCTTTAAGATATTTCTGGAAGCTTAGTTTGAATCCTTTTGTCACATGCCATGTTCAGACTGTAGAAATCATGTGTGAAAGTAAAGTTGCATTTTTCCTCAGAACAGGGAGCATGGATACTGATAAAGAACATCTGAAAATGTAGTGTTTTTTTTAAAATCTTCAGATAGTGGGTTTTAGGATTAAAATTTCTTTTACCTACTTACCTGAGCAAACCATCAGTTAAGTGAAGAAATTTATTCCGTGTATCTACTACGGAGAGAGTGTATGGACGGTCTTGGAAGCATGCTGCCTCTGGACATTCTCATTTTGGGCTTTGCTGCTCAGGGCTGCTGTCTTAGTTCAGGCTGCTATAACAGGGTGTCACAGACAGGATGGCTAACGAACAACAGAAGTTTATTCCTCATAGTTTTGGAGGTTGGAAGTCTAAGACCAGGGTGCCAGCCTGACCCAATCCTGGTAAGGGCCTTTTTCGAGGCTGAAGACTATGTCCCCTGGCTGTGCCTTCACATTGTGGAAAGAGGAGTAGAGAGCTCTCTGAAGTCCCTGGTGTCAGGGCACTAATCCCATTCATGAGGGCTCCACCCTCAGGGTCTAATCACCTCCCAAAAGCCTCTACTCTGGATACCATCATACTGGTATTAAGATCAGGTTAAGATTTGAAACCACATACACCAAAGAGCTGCCATATCCTCTCCAACCCCACCCAGGTTAACAATGATAAAGAAAGACACGTTTAGGTAGAATCATAAAGGAAGAGGACATGAGCCAGACACATCCTCTTTCATAGTTTTGTGCTGAGTTATTTCTCCCTCTGAGAATTCCCCATGCATTCCTTTTTTCCAGGATTTCGAGTTTGTTAATAGTGTATATACTTGAAAGTTTCTATGATGATAATGATGGGAAATTTTTTTTTTTTTGTACTGGAGATTGAACCCAGGAGTGTTTAACTGCTGAGCTATATGCCCCAGCCCAATTTATTTTTTATTTTGATACAGGGTCTTGCTAAGTTACTGAGGCTAGCTTTCAGCTTGCAATCCTCCTGCCTCAACTTCCCCAGCTGCAGGGATTACAAGCCTGTGCCACCACACCTGGCAGTGGATCATTTTGCTTGGTGTTTGTATAAGCATTCATAAAAATTTCAGAAGCTAGGCTGGGCGCCAGAGTATCAGCTGTCCACACAACGCCAGAAGGGTATTTGGATTCATGATCCTAATCCCACCACCTGAATCAAACACAGGCTCCCCAGAACCAACCCATGCTTCCAAGATTCCCCAGGCTCAAGTTCATGTTGAGGTCTTCTCTGTACATCCATTTGACAAAGAAGCAAAGTAACAAATAGCAACAAATTCCACCAGCAGTTCTGGGTCTTAGAACTGATTCATCTTTCATGGACAAGGCAAACAGGTCAACAAGTACATAGCATTTGAGTGGATACTGGTCAGCAGTGACATTTCTATCTTTTCTTTTTCTCCCTTCCTGCCCAGGTGCTTTGTTCTGCTCAGAAGTGTCCATTCTGCATCCCCGCACAAGTGTCTACATACCCCCTGACATTATTCTTGTCACAGTGAACAGAATGGTCCTATAAGTCATCATTTTTCTGAATTCCATAGATTATAGGAATCGTGAACTTAAGTATCAATGTGACACTACTGAAATATTTATGAGCAAATAGGAAACAGAAATCAGGAAGAAGCCTGGGCAGTGTGGCTCACAGACCTCATGCAATTGTTGTAGTCTTTACAAATATATATATCTGTATTATACACACACACACACACACACACACACACACACATGATCTATGGATCTCTGGGTTTTTTTAATAACTTAGTGACAAGTCAATTTTAGAATTTTTTTTAAAACAGGCTTGCTAGCACCTTTGACTGATAGTTGTTGACAAAGATGCTCTACACCAACCCTTATTTTATTTAAAAATGTTTTGTTCCATTGAGCTATAGCAGGACAATTATTTTAATGTATCCCTATATCCTAAAGCTATTGCTATATAGAGATTGCAGGTTTATTTAAAGTCAATATTGAAGTAATAAGCCCAAACTTTAGGGAGCCCAGATAGCAGTGTGATGAACAGAAATGTCAGTTGAATCTGTTTGCCATACCTTTCTATCCTGTCTTTTCTTTCAAGACAAGATTCAGGAAATGGACAAAGTAGAAGCACATAGATTGTGATCAAAGCTCTTGTAACTAGCACTTGTGATTTCATTTGTATGAATGCTTCCAATCAAGCCATAGCTATAGCTAAGCTTAGAAGCCTCTTCTGATTTCATTGAGTTTATCCAGTATGTTCACATACAAAACTGTTACCACCTTTATGGTAGGAATAGCCTAGATATTTTGCATCTTCTTTTACTTTCTTCAACATGGACTCTGTAGTGTTTGCTAGTACTAACAAGTGTTTGACACAAGACATCTGTGACCTGGGGGCAGTTTGTTAGAGCTGAGGGAGAATTGATACCAAGCCAACCAAGAGCGGATAACTCTCCTGGTAGATGAGCTGCCAAGGGTTTGGTGGAAATTGTTCTTAATGTCTTAATGGATATGAAGCATAAACACTTTAAAAATGTCATTTCATCACTATCATTTTGCAGTTTTAAAAATGGAAACTATTAGTGTAGTGTACATCATGTTCATCTGTTAAAAGGGATCTGGCTTCATTGCTATTACATAGCTTGAGAATAGCCCCTGTTCTTCATCATTAAACCAAAAATTTAATATCTGGGAAATTGTAGGAATGACAAATGAAGGAAGTCTACTCCTTGCCTTCCCCTTCGCTCTTCTTTTTATGTACGTATTCTTACACAGTCTGCCCTTCTGATTTCATTCTCCCACTTGGACTAGCACTTCGAAAATAGCTCTGTTCCTATCTCCCATCCCTTGAAAACTGCAGTGTGGTTCTGTGCCTAGAGAGTTGAGTGATGGGAAGCCAAATGATGATTGTGGGTGATGGCTAGCAGAGGTCCTTAGGGAGGCAACTGTGGAAAAGTAGCCAAGAATCTCAGGTGTGTGGTCATAGCGGCCCAGTCCTGCATTACCCATCGATGCCTTGGGTTGATTCTGCAGGGCAGTGTCCCATTCTTTCACTGCAAGAATCTTCTGTAACTGTGTCAGAAGATGGTGTTAAACTCCTGGATTCATTGCAGAACTTGTGTAGGAGCCCTTAAGTTTCTAGGATTGTTGCTCTTGTAGCTACTTGCAAGGTTCCCTGGACTATGGAATTTAACCAGAACTCTACTAAGACTGGACACAACTCAAGAGTGTTTGATTTTTTTACATTGCTTTTGAGGAAGGGAATGGTTTATTTTGATTTAACAATATCTCATTGAGTGCCTGTTAGCTATGAAGCACTAAACTGAACTCTTTGGGCATGAGGCTATAAGTATAATATATAGAGAGCTGAATAAGTCAAAGTCCCCTTGTAAACACTGTAGTTTATACATATACTGCATTCCCATGAAATACACCTACAATGTCTAAAATGTCCCCAGCCTGGGTTAAGTTGTGTTTCTCTTAGGAACCCTGTTAAAGGGCATCTTTTGAAAAACCCAAAGAATTCACTTTCAGTCCATAACCCCTGGTCCCCGGTGTGAATGGGGACTCAAGAACTATTCAGAAGGTTAGGGATGCTGCTCAGTGGTGGAGTGCTTGCCTAGCATGTGAGGCCCTGGGTCTGATCCCTAACACTGTCAACAAAATAAAAAAGAATGATTCATAAAAGTTTATATAATAAAAGAAATAGACACCACTGCTGGAAAATGATCTGTTTAAATCCCTGCTCCCATTTTCTATCCTGGGTTTGTTTTCTTGTAGAATAAAGGTGAGCAAATCAGTGGTAGGATTGCCCACCCCAAGTCCTCTCATGAGAAGGTGGACCTGAAAACTGTCCCTCCCCCTTCTTCTCCTGCTTCCTTTCTCTCCAACACTATTTCTGTGTCCTCTTTCTTTGCACCCAGCCAAGCACTTGTGAAAAAATTCTACTCCCATACATAGACTCTTCCCTTCCCATAGCACAGGTTCTCTTTCACAATCAAGGCTCAGACTCCAAATTAAATGCATCCATGACCATGTTGATCAGTTTTCATTATGTTATATCAGGCTTGTCTAAACCTAACAGAGACTTGAGTTAGCTAGGTCTTCCTGAGATCGCTATGCAAAGATTTTCCACCTAATTACAGGCACCCGAACCTGCTGTGGGTCTGTAGGTCTTATATTAACTTAACATATTTTTAAAAAGAAAAAGAAAGAAAGAAAAGATAGACACTCTAAATACCACTTTTACCCTGAATTTAAAAGACTAGATAAATCACATCTCACCCCAGTTCGATGTATATGAATTGCATAAACTTTCCAGACGTGAGAAAATTGGAGCATAGCACCCACTGTGCTAGAAATCTGTTGAAAGTTTGTTAATATCACACACCTGTGTTCCACCATGTCTGCAGATTCATAGGCCTCCTTCCACTGAAATACAATTGACTCAAGCACTCTTAAAAATGTTTTTCTTGAAGTATTCTTGGACTTCATATGAAACAATAAGGCTTTGAATGAACATGTAATAATAATTCATTCACCTAAAGCTATTTCCTTCCAGTTTTGGGGAGTTGTACTCTGCAGTTGAAGTGGTGCTTTCTCCCACTCATGGAGAGTAACTGGCTCTTAGTGCTTACATGTAGAACCTACCTTCCACTTAACATGAATGGTGGAATGTATGAAAAGGTTGTGTATGAGATGCTGTTCAAAACCCTCTGCTGCTCTGAAGACATTTTACAAAGCTAAGCTTCACAGGTGAAAGTAGGCTCCATCTTCAAGTCAAAGATGGCCATCTGCAGTTAGAGTTTAAGTAATCTTGGAAATATTTAAACAGGATCACTAGGGACTTCCAACCAGGGAGTGAATGAAGGTTCCTTTGGTGGCTGAGGCTCAACTTAGAACCAAGTGTGGGGCTTCAGACTACCAAATCTTTCCCTTGATGGCTTTCATTCTCAGCATCGCCTGTGTATTTATAATGAGAACTCTTTCCTTTTCTTACTAACACCAGGAAATGCACTCTATTATAGTGTTATGCATTTGTTTAGCTTGTATGGTCATTATACTAGTTACAAAGCTATTCAGTAATGGCAGGATTCTGTTGAAACACTAGATAAATACCCACCCACCCCCACCCCAGCAACCTATCACTTTCATAATAAAGTCTCTAATCCTTGAAGCAGTTAATATTGCCAAGTGGCTCAAGAATGCTGAGCATGAAATAAAAAATCAAAATATGCCTGATGAGGTGTTTCTACCATAGAAAGTGTGAAAAGAACAGAACAACAGCAATCCTAGGCTGGACTGAGTTCTGAGCGGCTGTCCTTTCCCTAACGTGCAAATGTTGTCAACATGAGGTTTGATTCTAGAGCTACTTTCCCATCTGCCACATTCCTTTTGCCTCAGAAAATAATTTCTTAGGATCAAAATGAGTCATGTTTTCTCCAACAGTGTGTAGCCTCCTGGTCCTCCTCATGTTCACAAGCACCTAAGGGGACCACTTGTCTTAGAATCAAGTGCCATCCTTAGCAGAATCAGCTTTGGTGACTAGAGGAAGACCTGGTGTAGGGAATGAAAAGCACCCACAAATGAAAAGTAGTTTTAATATGCTTTTCTTTTTCCCACGGTCCCACCATCCCTAGAATTACTTGTATTTTTTGCATCAGAGAAATATGAATGAATGAATAATAACTTGAATTTTTCTTTCGTTCTCTCCTGCTTTAGTATCACTAGAACCTTTGCATCCGGGAAAACAGAGAAGGTGATCTTTCAAGCACTCAAGGAGTTAGGTCTTCCCAGTGGAAAGGTACTCGTTAACTTCACATGTTTTAAAATCATTTTGTTATTTGTGCTCTCACATGGGGTAGGCTAGATTATTTACATTAAACTGGCCTCAGTAAGATTCAGAAACATAGAGTACCATTAATTTTCCCTTCACCTCTTTTCCTCTCTCGAAGCAATTTTTTTTTTTTTTTTTGGTGCCAGGGATTGAACCCAGGGCCTTGTGCTTGCAAGGCAAGCACTCTACCAACTGAGTTATAGCCCCAGCTCATTTTGCCAAGCATTTTAATGAAAGCTTTGAGAATTCAACTAGTTTGTTTCAGAGTAAATTTTGTCAGCTGAATTTTGTCAGCCTTATTAAGATAAGGAAATGAAAGCCAGGCTGTTTCTTACACAGTTTATGGAGCTTATTTTAGAGAATTCCAGCCATACTGGTGTCAACTAGGTACAGCATCAGCTTGAATAATTAACTAATCAATTCAGTTCTTCAAGGTGACCTTGCAATACTTTAGGAAGCATTCCTCCTCAAACCAACCATTTGTGGTTGTGGCTCTTCTGATTGAAGATAATTGAAATTAATTTATGGACTGAAAGAAAGCTCTAAGCCGGTGACCACTTTAACGAGTTCTATTTGAAATGTACATTTCAGTGTGACAAGTAATACCTTGAATGGTCCACCTAAGCCCCTTTCTGTGGAACTTCTGAAGATTCACAAAACTAGCATAATTAAATACTAGGCTTGATTCATTCAGTATCTTTTAAGCAGGCATCTACTTTCTTCCTCAAGGAGAGAGAGAAAAATTTTCTATTTGTTCTATGGGTGTTTCTGAGAGAAACCCTGCTATAGCCAGATGTTCCCACAAAGTGTGGTTTCCTAGTCACTAGAAGTGCTCACTTTCACATGCTCTGATCTAGCAGGGTGATTAGGAAGTTGGCCTCTTGGCTTCTGGGATGCTAAGTGGTACACTTGACTTCATGACGTTGTAGATGCCTACCCTCAAAAAAGAAAAAAGTTCCTTGATTTGTGACTTTTTTTTTTTTTACTCTTTACAGAATGATGAAATTGAACCTGCTGCCTTTACTTATGAAAAGTTCTATGAACTGACACAAAAGATTTGTCCTCGGACAGATATAGAAGATCTTTTTAAAAAAATGTAAGTTCCAATTATGAGAAAGTGATGTGTAAATATCTTTGTTCTTTTAGATTTTTAAAACATTATTTGCCATAATACGTTAATATAGGATGTTGGTAGTGCTAGGAATATTCTAGTTGGGGTTATATTTTCACCCCTTAGTTTATCAGTATATAAATTTAGCCTGAGATTTTAAGAAACTTTACATAAATTAATTTCAGCACCTGGAACTTCCCCCCCTCCCCCCCGCATTGGCTTTACTAACTACCTACAATTTTAACCTGCTCCTTTAGGTATTAACCCATTATGTGAACTAACTAGATTCAATTTGGAATGTTAATATGTTTTTGAAAAGTTCATTCATTCCAATTATTTCAAATGGATGACTTACATGTTGTTTTGAAATAACACCTTCTGGTAATGCTAAAGAATTGCAGACATCTTCTGTGACGTAGTGGGAGTGTTTTCTTTCCTTTGTCATTGTTGGGTTTTTCCCCCTTACAAACAGTCTGGCCATTTTAAGAATTTGCCACTATGACAGGGTTAGACAATAAGTTTAGAATGATCACCAACAAATGTCAACATGTAAATCGTGCCTACTGTAGCAATCGTATACAAAAACTTACTTTTTCTAATAAATTTCTTTTCAGCAATGGAGACAAAACTGATTATTTAACGGTAGACCAATTAGTGAGCTTTCTAAATGAAGTAAGCTTTTTCATACATTAACTCCATAAAGTCTGTGTGCAGTTGGCTTGCATCCCCAGTGTCCTCATTGCATGCCCGAGTCCTCTGCCCTTCTTTGCTTTGCCTCTGACCTGCTGATCTTTCCATGATGGCTCTACCAGGTGCAAAAATCAGCTCCTACCTGTGTGTACATGTGCTTCTTCTACATTGGCTTTGCACCCTGCTTCTCATTGGTTTCCCGCTGTGACGTGAAGCTCTGCTTTTGTGTGTATGTGTGTGTTTTTTAATATATTTATTTAATTAAATGTGTCTGTGTATTGCAAGATGATATTTAAGATAATTTTTTTTCTCCTGTTGATTCCATTAAATAGAAAGATAATGGATTGAGTTACTGTAGATGGATTCTCCATTGCTAACTTTTTGTCATACCCTTTGCATGGATTGGAGAGCTTTATTTTTGTCTTTTAATGGATTGCATGTAAGAAAAGTATGTAGTTTCTGATAGAATATTTTGACAACAAGCAAAACACTTGAGTTCCTGGGTGAAAATAATCTATTGAGTATTAGGCCAATTGAATTGCAGGTTCAATTTTTGCTTTTTATTTTTATAACAAGCTCAGAGTTAATTTTAGAACATGATTCACTTAACCACCAAAACTGGTTGATGAAATTTACGTAAGCACAAGAGAAAAACATTTTAGGACAAGTAAAGGTCACAACTTTTATTACAACTGAAATGAACTTTTTTTTTCTTTACATGTACAAAAAACATTTTTAGCAAAATCCATCAAAGCTCTTAGGAAAAAAAAATCCCTTTTTTCCCCAATTCATGAAAAATAAGAAGAATTTGAGTGAAGGATAAACAGCGTATTTTTGTTCCAAAATAACTTAAGTTAACCATCATGTTCTATAAAGAAACATCATTAGAAAGGGTAGGAATGGGCCTGGGAGGTAGAGGTTAGTGGTAGGGCTCGTGCTTCAGAAGGCCCTATGTTCAATCCTCCGCATAAAAAGAAAACAAAAGAAGGAGGAGAAGAAGGGCTAGGAATGTAGCTCAGAAGCAGAGTTTGCCTCTCATGTTTGAGACCTAGCATTCAATCCCCAGTACCGCAAAAAAAGAAGAGGAAAAAATGGTTATCATGCTAGACAGAAGGTATTGCCTTAAGAAAAGACAACAGTCAGTGATTTGCTACTTTGTAGAAACAAATCACATTTTTGCCAGAGGTCCTCTCTTTTCATTCTTTGTGAAGGTTCACTGGCTTCCTATTCATAGGGTCACACTTTAGAAACTATGTATCAATCAGAGTCTAGATGTACTGAGACAAAAAAGAGAAGGGAGGGACTCCACCTGCCTGCACAGAGGCCTCCACTTTGAAGTCATACTGTCCGTACAATACAATATTTATTTTACTTGAAAATGTTTCAGGTTTTTCCACTCCACTAGTCTCTAGTCATGTGAAAATTATGTTTGAAATCTTTACCCAGATACTATCCACATTCTTATGCCACAGTCGCTTTAGAAATTAAATTGCCTGCCTTTGCTTTATTTCCTGGGCCCCTCCCCTCTCCCTCTTCCTCCTTTTGTGTTTTTTGTTTCATTGTTTTATTTTCCTCAGCTTCCTCATGCACTCTGGTTAATTGATCACCTTGAATTTGGTACCATGGGCAGGAATGAGCTTCCTACTAACAAGGGAAGACGGTAGAGAGGAGAAAATCTACTGTGTCGTCAACTTGTGGCTTCCTACAATAAGGCTTCTTATGTGCTGTGACATGGGATGGAGCCAGCAACCAGCCATCAATTAAACGGGGAAACTTCATACCACATTTTGTGTTCAAATTCAGAAATAGCCCTGAGAATAGGTGCAGCCTTCCTTGGCTCATGCCTGAAACATTTCCTTTTATGGGTTGTTTTTTATCAGTCTACCCAATAGTCACTCTTTAAATCCCTATACAGTTTTTAAAATTTTATTTGAACATTTCATTTAAATTTTATGGTTAAATTTTTATTGAAAATTTTATTTTAAAAATGTTTAAATTTGTATTAAATGTTTTTAAGTCTTTATTCAATATACATCTATATCAGATCCCCCGTATTTTCTTTGCCTTGGCATCCATTTTCTATACTAATAGTCAAGCTTTTCTCTCTCACCATGACAGTAGACAATGATATTCTTTCAGTTTTTATGTTTCTTTCTATTTGGCTTCACCTTGACATTAAGGTGGTGGCTTGAGTTTTTGAGTGGGACTGGATGGAATCAGTGTGATTCTAGATTTCTTCAGGTGATAGAAACTATAAGCCAGTCTACTGTATCTCTTCAGTTTCAGTCCTAGTGAACACAGCAGGAAGGACTAGACAAAAATATGAGTCTCCTTGAAGAAGTTGTCAAACCTAGAGAACATTCTGCCAACACCTCACGCTCACTTTCTTGAGTCTACCCTTGTCCCTTCAATCTCTCCAAAAAGAAAAATAAAATAAAAACTTATCTTTAAATCAAGACTTAACTATAATGTGGAAGAGAACTATAGTTGCTAACTATGAACATAACTGTGCTGTGTCTCCTTTCAAAACCCATGCCAAAAGGGGACACAATGAGCTCCCTCAAGAAAGGATCTGGCCTTGGAATGTAAGGGACTCTGATCCAAAGGTTACATCTTAACATTTGGAAAATGCCTTAGCCATATAATCTCAACAGGCAGTGTTCACCATTGCAGCTGGAAGCCTTGGATCTTGCAATAAGGCAGGGAAAACTCAGAAACACTGGGAAGTCCAAGGCCTTCGCCTCTGTGAATGCAGTTGTCAATGGTCTACATGGATATCCAAAACAGTTAACTGAAGAACTCTTTGAATTTATAAGAGAGTTCATCAAGGTAACCATTACAACCAATCTGGAAAGCAAAAACCCATAGATACACATGGCCATCAATGGTAACCAACTGGAACAGATTATAGGAAAAGAAATCCCCTTTATGATATGCTGGCTCCCACACCTTCTTATTCTTTCTGTGGAATTTTCTGTTCAATATACTCATGTGTACCTAAAGGAGGTGGGAAGGAGAGAATAAATGATTGGTCATTTATTACCTTGGTCTCTGTAGGGTCTATGCCACCCCCTCTCTATCCATGCCATTAACAGTCACTAGCCTGTCAGGGGTGGCTTCACATCTGCCTCCTCACCTGCTTCTCAGTATCTCCTTGGTCTTTGCTCCAAAAAGTGTGATCTGTGGACCAGCAGCACTGGTATGGCTCAGGGAGCTTGTTACAAATGCAGCATCTTCAACCCCACTCAGACCTGCTAAGTCAGAGTTAGTCCTCTTCACATTAAAGTTTGTGCAGCACTATTTAGTAGATTACTGGAGTCTTCCTTGGAATGCTTAGTGTAAGTGGGAAGAAAATGGGAATGGTACACATATTCTGATAAAGAATTTAGTCATGGCAATTCGTCAATCACATCTAAAATTTTGCCACAGTATGTCAATAGGTCCCACCCAATGGACAGGGGAAACTTTCTTTGCCAAACTTATGAAAATAACAAACTGGAGTCTAGGAATGCTAGTGGAGGCACTTCATGGAAATTGGCACATGGTCTGATCTACTGTCAACACAGTTGCTTGTGGGTGGCAGAATTAAAGTCTCTCTCTGGGCTTCAGTTAGTTTCAACTCCTTTTCCCTGTTCCTTATGAGAAACTAAATTGATTTCAGTATTGCCATCATTTTCCTATTTGAATTCTTACACAGATGGCAACAACTAAGAGCCTGCATAATTGAGGGATGCATAAAGGGTAGGAAAGAAAGATAAAAAAAGAAGAGAGTAAAAAGGTGGTACATGGCCACCTTGACCAGGAGTTGGCTTTATTTTCTTTTACTGGTTACTTTCCCCTGCCATACACTGTCATATGATCACGCTTATAAATTCAAAGAGTTCTTCGGGCTAAACATGATTTTTTTTTTTTTTTTTTGCAGTTGGAAATATATGAGCAAGAGCTCACCATCTATTTCCTTTCACAATATCTTTATTCTTTAATGCACAGGCAAAGAGAGAAAAGAGAGAGGTATTTTGGCTTTATGAGTAAACTTGACTTGCCACTTATTCCTTTCTCTTTGTTATATCTTGTTTGAATATTACTTTTATTAACGTCCATCTTCTCCAATGCTACCTGTATTGAAGTAGCTGATGCCTTTTCTTAAGAAGGACAGAGTAATGGGGACCTGTCCATTATCTCCTCATTTTCTTGGGCACAATTTTATGACCTATTTTTGGAAGCTATTTAGACTCCCATTCTACAAAACACTGGATACTATGAGGTGAATATTCTGGGTACATTGTTTACCTGACTGAAAACTGATGGTCCCTCAGAGCTGGGAAGAATCTGCCTCATGGTGCTGTGTCTAAGTGGAACTCTTCTGCAACCTCATTACTCTTAGTGTACCTGGACATCATTTTCTCCTCATTGCATTTTTGCATAAAAGTTGTAGTTTTGTGACTCTTAACTGTAAACCTTATCATTTGTTCCCTGCCTCTGGATTATCCAGAATTTTTTTTTTCAATGTGAAAATTTTAGGGAAACCAAAGAGTATGTTATCTGGCAGAATAGATGCAAAGACAAATGCAGTTCCATCTTGTCTTCACTGCTTGCTGATTTGCACTGGGAATATAATTTTTAGAATAGTGGGTTATGAGACATACATTGTAAGACTCAGTTTTCCTGTCTATTGCTTCTGATAGAGGTTGAATGACTATCATGTACTTTGACACATTTTTTTAAATATCTTTTTTAAAGAGAGAGACAGAAAATTTTTAAATTTTTTTAATATTTATTTTTTAGTTTTCAGCGGACACAACATCTTTATTGTATGTGGTGCTGAGGATTGAACCCAGCGCTGCGCGCATGCCAGGCGAGCACGCTACGCTTGAGCCACATCCCAAGCCCCCTCCTCTGACACATTTTAATGGGGTTTACCTGGAAGTCATTTTTGTAGATTTTAGGTGCCTTTTTTTTTTGCATGCATATACAAATGTGCTAAGATGCATACCATTACAGGTTAGAGCTTCTTAAACTTGGGTGCATCAGAATCACTGAAAAGCTTATTAAAACGTGAATTCCTGTGTTCTGCCCAAGAGAATCAGATTCAGTAGATCCAGCCATAGAGGACTGAGAATCTGCATTTCTAACAAGTTTCCCAGGTGTTGGTGACATTGCTGCCACCATACTTTGAGTAGCAGTTTTAGAATACACACATCTCTCTATATAAAAATACATTAAAATGTCTGAATTCCGTCTCCTCCTTTCCTCGATTTTCTCTCTTCCCTCTCCATAGCTGAGTATCACTTCTTTCTGTCACTTTTTTTAATTCATATGGATTTGCCCCATCATTTCCATCAGTCCAGAATACTTATCAATGAGCATATCTCGAAGTCAAAATATTTCATTTTACTATGGAAGAGAAATACAGTGGCCAACTATATGTTAACTGCTCTGTGATCTAATAAAGGATCTTCCATGATACTGTTTATGGGAGGAGGGATGTGCCTACAAAGAAGGTTATTTTGTTTGCTTTTAAAATAGTGCATTCTCACATGGGTGCAGGTGGTCATTTCCTTGAACAGGGAGCTCTACTGCATGATGGTCTCATTTTCTAAACAAGGTGCAGCATGCCTTCACTTGCCTGGCACTCCACGGCCCACCTCACAATATCTTTTTCTGTGCTCATACCATCACTTTTGTTCTTTGTGTTTTCAAGAACCATTATGAATATAACAGTGTCTGCTTTGGCATTTGCATGATTATGAGCTGTTAAGACCTGTAATTTCTCAGATTACAACAGAAGCATGCTTCATTGGGATAAATTGCCAAAATATATCAATTCCTTATAATTTAACACTCTTCACTCAATGGTGGGAGGTGGGAAAATGAGAAAGGCTAAGACCACCTATGCTTTAGGAAATGATATCAAGTGTTCCATTGGCCAAAGACATTCATTCTCAATATAGACTTCCACTCAAATGATCATCCCCAAGCAAATGGGGACGGGAAATCCATATGAACTTTTTTTAACAATTGCTTTCTAAATACCTTTCCAATAATGTCTTTCAAAGTCTGTGCATATATTTGGGTAAAGAATTGTTGCTAAGGTTCTTTTTGTTGACAAGATCTTGCTCACATCTGCTTATCAGTTATTATTCCATGAAAGTTTGCTTTATTTATTTATTCATTTATTCATTCATTCATTCATTCATTTGAGAAATGGCCAAGAACACAATGCAAACCTTTCATCCACAGTAAGGAAGTTTAATGGATCCACTGCCTACACACACACACACACACACACACACACACTGTAGCTAGGTCAAGTAGTAAGGACGTGTCACTATACCTGTGAAATTAGGATGACTTCACTTCAGGAAGCAGCTCCAGAAGCATCTTAAGTGCCCATTTTAAAAAGATGATGTCATACATTTTCTGCCCAATTTTCTCAGGGAAATGGAGTTAAATTTTATAGTGAGACTGGGCATGGTAATATGCACCTGTGATCCTAGCAACTTGAGAGGCTGAGACAGGAGGATCACAAGTTTGTGGTTAACCTGTGAAATTCAGGGAGTTCCTGTCTCAAAATCATAATTTTAAAAAAAATGTAAAGGCTGGAAGCAAAGCTCAATAGGTGAATGTTCCTGGGTTCAATCTTAACTACCAATAAATAAATAAATAAATAAATAAATGTTCGTAGCAAACAAGTTGCTTCTGAACTACTTATTTAAATGCAATTTCATATGGTTTATAGGTTATCAATATTCCTTATTCTAACTTTTATCATGACAATTGATTTATTTTGAAAAAATATGAACTCGAGAAAATGAAGTTTTCAGGGTGCCCAAAAAGTCTCTTAATGACATAGAAAGATGTAATGAAAATGAAATGATATTTGCCTGTCTAACATTAGGGGGCTTTTTGGAATTGTTTTGGTTTTGGTTTTGCTTTGTCACTTAAGCTAATATATGATCTCTTGATTTATTGGAACTATTTTTTATTTTTTTATTTATTTTTGCTTCTTTTTAAAACTAGTTTTAACATTAATTTTTTAATATTATCAAATATTTTGATCTCACTTTTTATAGACAGCTGTGCCCGAAAAATATGATATGGGAAATAAAAGACAATACAGTGGACACACACACTATATTATAAGCCTTCAACTTTTGAAGGGGGAAAAAACCCCATATTTCCTCTCCTTCCTGTTCAGTGAGAGGAACCAACAAAGTACTCCCAAATTTGGACTTTTTGAAATATATTTTAGGAGGAAAGACAGAAAGGCAGTGAAGTCTGATCTTTGTCATTATAAACATGATAGTCTAGCTATATCTTGTTTTAGAAATTATATACTTAGATATGTGAAATGCCTCCAGGGTGAGAAATGTCAACCTAAATGGAGTTATTTTCTCATCATAGCATCAACGAGATCCTCGACTGAATGAAATTTTATTCCCATTTTATGATGTTAAAAGGGCAATGCAGATCATTGAGATGTATGAGCCTGATGAAGATTTGAAGAAAAAAGGTAATAAAAAATGTTAAAAAGGCCTTTTTTTTTCCTTTTGAAACAAGAAAACATGCAACTTTTAAAGCTCTTGGATTTTTAATTTAAGGTATCTATTAATGCTTTGGAGCTCCATAAAGCCACATGCCACATATTAGTAACTGATTTCTTTTTTCTGCTCTTAAGTTAGTGTAAATTACCTTTCTTCCAAATTAGTCCTTGCAGCCTAAGATATACCATTAAATTTATTGTGCTATTAAACATAGTATTTTTTTCCCAACATACTTTTGTATACTACTAGATTTTTTTGAATATTGCTTAAAATGTAAGAATGCCAAATACGGTCCCTATTTGCAGTCTGTGAAAATAATCTCTGTCATGTAAAGTTTTCACCTCCTTTTCCTCTTTTTTGTTTTGCCAAGCCAATTAAATTTGACACATGATTTGATGTGCCCTCTCACCCCTCATTTGACTTCTGGAATGGAAGATAAAAACAAATGACATGAAATTAAATAGTCAGGAATTACTTTAGCAAATTGTTTGCATTTCTGGACCTTTGCCCCTTTCAATGAAACTTTGGAAACAATGTGTTGTCTAAATATTTGTCAAAGGAAAGGCATGGAGAAGAATTTGAAGGTCAGTGCCATAGCAGTGGGAAGCACCTGCTGAGGGCTGGAGGGATGGTGTAGTCATAACTGGACGCTGCTGGCCTCATGTCTCAGTGGACACTGAAAGGAGATCCAGGTTTAGGTTCTATCTGTCCCACGTGGTTATAAATTTCAGGGCTTCAGCTTCCTCCTCTTTAGAATGGTTTCTCTTTTATTTTTATTTACTTATGTATGTATGTATGTATGTATGTGTTCATGGACTTGGTACTGAGGATTGAGCCCAGAGGTGCCTTACCACTGACCTACATCCCCTATTCTTTTTATTTTATTATTATTATTTTTTTTAATTTTAAGACAGGGTCAGCTAAATTGCTGAAGATCTCACTAAATTGCTGAGTTTAGCTTTGAATTTACAATCCTCCTCCCTTATTCTCTCAAACTGCAGAGATTACAGGCCTGCACCACCATGCTCAGTTAAAATGTGTTCCTTCTTTTTTGTATCTATTGCATGTGAATGTGACTGAACAGTTTATTTGTTCTCAGAACATATATAGGACCTGTTTATAGATATGTCTAGCCCACCATACCGGAGTTTTTCCTTGAATGTAGTCATACACTTACGCTTTTTTCTAGGGTCACAAATGCCTATTTTTATCAAGAGTACTTCATTATTTACCTCTACCAATATTCTGATTATCATAATTTTTCCACATTATATGTAATTAAAGCAGAGGGAGGATCAGTAGTAGAAGTGATGAGGTTCATGTCACTTCCCTGTTACTGTGTAACCTCGAGTAAGGGAATTGCATCCTGGGCCCTAGTTTCCCTGCTTGTAAGATGGTGGGTGGGGTTCACATAGTCATTAACTACTTTTTCTCTTCATTACTGTTATTTTTTGCTTTTATTGTAGTTTTTTTTTTTTTTTTGGGGGGGGTTCTTGGGTTTGAACCCAGGACTTCACACATACTAAACATGGGCTGTACCACTGAGCTATTCCTGCAGCCCCTACTGTTATTTTTTTAAAATTTATAGAGGGCTAACTGCATACCAAGCACTGTGCTAAATGCTGGGAATTCAAAACTACATGAGAAATGACTCCTGCTTTGTAGGCAGTTTTGATCTGTTCAAAGGGTAAGCCAAGTGATTCAACGATTCCTCGGCAAATGTTATGATAGATGGGTGTCTTTGGTTACTTCTAAAGTCCTTCCAAGTTATTACCATTCACACATCAAAAAAGTGTACCGAATCTTTTGTAAGTTTTCCAAAGTCTGGATGTCAGAGTGACAGAGCTCAGTGCTCTGACTTCTGCTCCCTGGGTACTCACTCCTTGAGTGAGCTCATGCAGGCCAGTGGCTTGAAATTTCTTTCATCTGCATCTGATTTCCAAATTAAACCCTCCAGTCCCAACTGCTAACAAACTACAGACCTGCCACAGAACTGTCCATTTGGATGCTGAGTAGGCATTTCCAATGTGTTCTACAACATGCTTTGATTCTCCCCATCTCCAGATCTGTTCCTTTCCCTGCCCATAAAATAATCCCATTGTTCACTCAGCTTTTCAAGTCAAAGCCCTGGGCATCATCCTGAACTTGTTTAATTCTTTCACATCACATCTGATCCAGCAGCAAAACTACAAGATCCCAACCTCAACATAAATCACCTGTCATGGTCTCCACCCTACCAGGCTATTCAAGCCCACATCCTTCCTCTCCAGGCAACCAGTTGACTTCTAACTGGTCGTCCTTTTTACTCAGCACCATGCTCTACACAGCAGCCAGAGTAAACCTCTTGAAATCAAATCCAATGATATTCCACTTTTCAAAATATCTGAAAGCTTTCCAACATACCTAGGATAAAATCCAAAGTACTTAGGACTGAAGTCCAGCTCACATAGACTTTCACTACTTCTCCCAACTCATTTCCAGCCACTTTTCTCCTGGGTCACTCACTCTATCTTGCTGTCATTGAGTGAACTTGGCATACACACTCCTATATCAAGGTCTTTGCACTTGATGATCCTTCTACCTGGAAAGGGGCTTCCCACCCCATATGTGCATGGGGCTTGTTCACCATGCATGTGAGGTACCTCCACAGAGGGGCTTCACTGGCCACATATCGAGCACAGCATGCTGCCATTTCTTCATCATCTTTATTCCTGCTTTCTTTGTCCTTCTAGAACTTTTATGACATATTTATTTGTTCACTTGTTTATTTATCTCACTCATAATGTGTGGGTTTCATAAAACAGGACTTGTCTGCGTTTTTCTATCACTGCATATCCCAATGCTTCAAAAACTACCTGCTCTTAGAATGAATAAATGTACTCAAGGAGAGAGGTATACAAACTTTTATTGCATACTTTCAGGTATGATTAAAACTGACCTAAATATGCATCAACAGAATAATGGGAAAAAAGGTATAAGTTATACATTCAATATGGACTACTGTACATGAAAAATAAATGAACATATGTCAGCTGGATAAGTCCTAAGAAAACATATAGGAAAAATAGCAACTTTCAAATGCTTCAAAAAGACTAGGATAGCTCTTTTATAAATTCAAAGGCATTTGAAATGATCTATTGTTCCAAAAAAGGCATATGTGAATAAATGCATAAGTGAAACTGAAAAACTGTGAGGAATGTTAAACACAAAAGCTAGAGGGAAGTGGTTATCTATATACAAGCAGAAAGATAAAATTAGCTGGAACTGATGTGGGGCACTAGGGCACTTCAGTGCCATTTGTAATTATGTATTCATTTTTTAAATGTAAAGCAATGAAACAAAATGTTAATATGTGACAAATCTGTGGTGTAGGTCTATGTCAGTTTATTATGCTATCTGTAGTTTCCTTGAACTGGAAATCAGTTCATAACTTGCAAATGCTTAAATTAAAAAAAGCAAAGCGCCTAGGCTGTCAGTAGTTGATAGGTAGAAGATGCTTAAATATAATGCCCTTTTCCTGCAACTACCATTAGCTCCCAGCCCTGTGTCAAAATAAAAAAGTGCAATTGAAATGAACAAGGGCTCTTGGGGCCACATTTCAATGACCCCTGCATATTTTTCTCACCAGCCTCACCCCCTACCTTTTTAAATAAAATAGAAAAATAAAATTGTTTAAATTTGGAGGACACCATATCCAGGAAAAAATCCCTTTTCCAATTCAGTGGGAAAAGTACTGACTTATAATTAATATTATTTCCATTTTTTAAAGAACGCCTCTTATATATATTCTCAATTGGTTCTGGAAAGAAATGGGACCAGTATTTTTTCTCCACTTGGCAGAAGAGGAAGCTGAGAGCCAGGGAGTGACAGAAATAGAGCTAGAGAAAGTCCCCTGACCTCTTGTAACCATCGCTTATAGCACTGTGTTTTTTAATCGGAGGAACATGTACTTCCATTATCTTGGATATAAAAAAATGCCACCTCTTTGTTGAATGCCTGTGTTATTTATAATTTGCCATTCTATGACTTTGTTCAAGTTCTGTAAGATGAAGTTTCTTAGGAAGGTAATATGAAGAAGTTTTTACTCTTGCTGTACAAGCCAACTTGCCTTCCCTGGATAAATGAGATGCACATCTTCAGAGCTACAGGTGCTATTAAGATATTCTTTTTCCCCTAGGACTCATATCAAGTGATGGGTTTTGCAGATATCTGATGTCAGATGAAAATGCCCCAGTCTTCCTAGATCGTTTAGAGCTTTACCAGGAAATGGACCATCCTCTGGCTCACTACTTCATCAGTTCTTCCCATAACACCTATCTCACTGGCCGACAGTTTGGTGGGAAGTCTTCGGTAGAAATGTACAGACAAGTTCTCCTGGCTGGTTGCAGGTCAGAAACTCAGAGATGGCCATTTGGGACATATGGGGTAGGGGGGTTATACAGTGCTCCTCAATGTATAGTTGTCCCCCCTTATTCACAGGGGTATATTCCAATACCTCCAATAGATGCTTGAAATCATGTATAGTATCTAACTCTATATACTATTTCTCGCTATATATACATACATATGATAAAGTTTTACTTATAAATGAAGTAAAATAAGAGATTAATGACAATAACAATAATAAAATAGAACAATTATTAAAAATGTACTGTAATAAAATTGGCCACATTCCTTGTGCTTTTGAGGCTTTACTGAGTACAATAAGCCTTACTTGAGCACAGTGGGATAATCTGACAGATAACTAAGAAGGCTATTAAGTGGTTACTGGGGGGGTAGTGTATACCTTGTGGATACACTGGGCCATGGAATGATTCACATTGGAGGTTGGACATTGGGGTAGCAAGAAATTTAGTTGTGCTACTCAGAATGCTGTACAATTAAAATCTTATGAAATGTTTATTTCTGGTATTTTCCAATTAATATTTCCTGACCACTGCTGATCATGGATAAATAAACTGGGAGTAAGGGAGGACTACCATAGTTTATTTTTTTCTGAAATAAGAAGTTGTAATCAGAGTGAAAACAACATTTGTCATTCTGTTTAATGGATTATGATGGCCATTTAACCTTGAGAAAGAAAGAACAACATTACTTTCAGAAAGGTCTAGCCTTGTTTATAACACAAAAGATACTATTTTACACTAAATAGGCCCCCAAAAAATGACAAAAAAAAAACCCTCACACTTTTTAGAAGTCATGGTTTTTACTAGTTATAGGTACTTGCAAATTTAATGTTAAAGGCTCAGAAATTTCATTCTCTAAGAAGAGATTACTAAAAATATTTTTTACAATTGTAGTCAAATATTTGAGATTTTAAAATGGCCAGAATGTTGAAAGTGAAAAATAAAAAAAGAAGGTGCACTATGACTTTTTTCTTGGTTACCAATTAAGCAAAACTTTATTTTTTTTAACACACAATTTTTGTATGTGGAAATACTTTTAAAAGAAATCAACCACATCCCTACTTCTATTCACATACTTCCTCTGAATACTTGAGTGTTTTGTTTTGTTTTGTTTGTGGTGCTAGGGATCAAACCCAGAACACCTTGTGCATGTGAGGCAAGTACTCTACCAACTGAGCTACATCCCCAGCCTGAATACTTGAGTATTAATCACTAAAAAAAAAAGAAAAAGAAAGAAAAGAAATTCTTACATAGTGAACATAACATGATCCCACTTAATACAATTAAAAATAATTTAATGTCAACTGGGCATGGTGGCACATGCCTGTGATTCCAGTGGCTCAGGAGGCTGAGGCAGGAGGATTGCAAATTCAAAGCCAACCTCAGCAACTTAGTGGATCCTAATTAAGCAAATCATGGAGAACCTGTATCAAAATAAAATATAAAAACAGTTGTGAGTGTAGCTCAGTGGTAAAGCACCCCTGGGTCCAAACCCCAGTACCAAAATAATAATAATAATAATAATAAAATAATTTATTGTTATCTAAATCCAGCCTACATTCAAATTCCCCCAGTTATCCTCTCATTGTTCCTTATTGAATTCATACAGAACTGTACTACTTGTCTCCTCTTAAGTCTCTTAATCTGACTCAGCCCTTTTTGATGATACCAAACTGATGAGAAGAATAATGTGTTTTAGGCTGTATATGTCATGAAATAGCCCTGTTGCAAAATTCATCTGATTTCCTGCTCTCTAAGGAAACAACTTATTTTGATGCCTCTCTTTGAGTTTGTATACACACTCTTCTATTGTAAGAATTCCGTGTTGTCATTTTTGCTGTGTTCCTAGGTGTGTTGAACTTGACTGTTGGGATGGAAAAGGTGAAGATCAAGAACCAATAATAACTCATGGAAAAGCAATGTGTACAGATATACTTTTTAAGGTATGTTTTAAAATTACACAGCCATAAATTCTTTCAAACTGTTATGTAGGCAATAGGGAGGTGGAAAATAATATTTTCATTTTCTCAAGCATTGTGCCTTCATATTTCTTTCTTCCAGGTTTGAGGGGAGATGCACGACAAATGTTATCTCCACTTAATGTCTTCTTGTATGATTTTTCCTGCTTTCAAATGGCAACGATTGCATAATGAGGTTTCTCCAGCAGTCTCCTAGTTTACTTACCTAAAAGCTTCAGAGTCTTATCTACTTATTTGTTTGCTTAATTTGCATTTTCTTGAAGGACTTAAAGGCAGCATAAAAAATAAATATAGGAAAAAAGTAGATTATAGACAGACAGGACCTGTAAGAATAAAAGAATGAGGTTAGAGTTTATAGATGCTTGTCAAGAAATCTTATAATCTTGCACAAACACATGATTTACAGGATCCATAAATGAAAAGCACAATTATTATCAGAACTGACATCAATGAAAAATTTTCTATCATTATGAATGGGCATCTCAGTAATGGTGATGTCCGTGTGTGATTTGAAGAGTGGTTTCTTAGAGCTGCTCAATATGCCACTGGTAGCCTGACAAAAGATAAGTCAAAGAAATTCTGTGATTGGCCAATAAGTCAGATCCACCTGTTTTCTTTTGACGTACCACAGGATGGGTATTGCAATACCTGGAACAATTGATTTCTCAATTCCACATGTGAAAAATCACCAGAGATGTTTTAAGAAACCCAGACACCTAGGTCCTATACCTGTAACACACCACAAATATCATTTCTCTTAGCCACAATATTGATAGGTTTTGATGAGTAGTTGCTCAAGATTATGCTTCCTGGGAAGAGCCAAGAAATATGCAAGTGGGAAGCTGTGAATTTGCACAGCCAGCCAAATTGATAGGGAAGGCTATGAACTCTCCTTAGAGAATTAAGGACCCTAATAAGGAAGCATAGGTGAAAAACAGGCCATTCCCTCTCAGCTTGGACTGAGCAAAGGAGGACCCCAGAGTAGCACCAGAGTTTTCCTTAAAACATAATTCTTGGTCAAGTGGATAATTAAGGACATGAACTTTAACCTGGGAAGAAATTTTAAGCAAGAATAACTAAATGGCCAGGTGCAATGCTGCACATCTATAATCTTAGTGGCTTTAAAATCTGATGCATGAGGATGACAAGTTCAAAGCCATCCTTAGCAATTTATTGAGGCCCTAAGCAATTTAGTGAGACTTGGTCTCAAAATAAAAAAATTTAAAAAGGGCTGGGGGTGTTGCTCAATGGTTAAGCACCCTTGGGCTCAAAAAAAAAAAAAAAAAGAATAATTAAATGACCAACTCAACCATAAGGATGATTACATAAAATATTGTAAGCTTACCTGACCTTGAGGATTATCCTTTCAAATGGACTTCCCTGGATAACTATGGTAAAATATTTTCCTGATTTCATTGAGTGAAGTGCTTGCCCTGTGGTTAGCCACCAATTATTAAATAAATGCTTTTACACCTGTTTTTCTAAAGCAAAGTAGAGACTTGGGCTCACTATCTTATAAGGCCTCTCCATTTTCACAGAGATAGTGGGAGGGGGATACATTCGACTCATTCAAGTGCAAGGGAGATCCTGAGCACACCCTGTTTTACCTGGCATGGTGCTTGACCACAGAGAATCCCTCCCCTGAAACTCCTCCCCATATCAACCAGGCCAATATGAAACAACGAATATTGCAAATGTTACATCTATATTGAATTAATGAAATGTAGCCCAAGACTGATCCCCAAACACAGAGGAGTCAATAGAATTTTCTAGCAATCCGAAAGGTAATACCAACACATTTCTCCAGAGGTGGAAGGAGTTAAAGAGGGATCTCTTGGAAAAATCCCTGTGCCAAAGCTTAGCTTCTCCTCAGAGAGAATGTTGAATACTGAGCCCCTGGGGGGCTTGGAAGATCATCAGGTAAGTAACAAGGAGATCACTTAAATAAAATGTCTTGTAAGTTGACAGTACCATCATTCTGGAGGTATAAAAGATAGCTTTGGGTAAACAAATGTCATTAACCATTAACTGCATACTTGGTCAATCGTACTATTAGAGGTATCAAGGTGGATGGGTTCTCCAGGTCTGAGTGGCTGCAATTGACTTTCAGCAAGAAAGTCTCAATTAATGAACTGAATAGTTTGAGGTGCCTTGAATTTTTCTGCTCTTTTATCTCATTAACCACTTTTTATTTTTAAAGGATGTAATTCAAGCCATCAAGGAAACTGCATTTGTCACATCCGAATATCCTGTAATTCTCTCCTTTGAAAATCACTGCAGGTATATTGATTCATTTTACTCCAAGACACAAAAGATGTTGTTTCCTAACTCCTACTCCTCATCCTCACCTTAGCAGTATATCTTTTTAAAAAACTGCGTAGTTTGTTTTTGAATTGCTAAGTGCCAACTGATCTTCCAGTAAGTATGGAGAATCTTATGCAAACCCCATCTCTCCAAAAAAGTCATCTTCACCTGGTTTAGAAAACCCTTGCTCTAAACAAAAGGTCAAAGATTGGACACCTTGCTTCAAGTTTCATTGAATTGGAAGATTTGAATATAACTTAACAAACATTGTTGCATTCTTACCAGTTTTAGTGTGGGGGTGACTTTATTTTTAATCGAATCAGTTAAAGTTTGGTATTTGAAAGTATCTCATTCACATTGTAAGGATAATCATGCATTTTGCAGATGAGATTCTTTAATTGCCTAGAATGGTGTTTTCTTAAACTTGGAAGGTTAATGGATGTTTGAATTTACAAATGCCACTTCTTTCTCTCCAGCAAATATCAACAGTACAAGATGTCCAAATATTGTGAAGATCTATTTGGGGATCTCCTGTTGAAACAAGCACTTGAATCACATCCAGTATGTATTTTTAGAAAACCATATTTCTAGCATGAATGAATTTGTTTTGAAATTCATTTTTGAAGGGTCAAGTAGCACTGAAGGACTGATGCTAAAGATCTTCATATTTATTTAAATTCTTCAGTACAAAAAGCGTTTTTATCATGCTTCGAAAGGATGAATTTAATTTGGAAGAGCTTGGGGTCTCATGGTTTAAATTTCAGCACCCAGGCCAAGAGTCTAGATTCTGTACTTATTCTCAACATTAGTTAGATGTTAGAATTATCTCGGGGAACTGTGAAAAACACCCATGACAGGGCTGCACCCACAGATTGATTTAATGGACCCAGAGTCTGCCATCAGCATAGTGCTTTTTAAAAGTCCTCCAGGTGAATAAATGTTTGCCTGCTATTCAGAAGCCATGGGAGCCTCTTGTTATGGAAAATGCTCTAGATTGATGTCACAGTATCCTGAAGTGCAAGTTCCCAACTCCAAAACAAAGTCTTGGTTAAACTGATATGTACGTTTGAAAAATATTTATCCTAATTAGTAATACATGACAGTAGAATGTACTTTGACACATCATACATCAGTGGGATATAATTTCTCATTCTTTTGGTTGTACATGATGGAGACTCCCACTGGTAATGTAGTCATGTATGTACATAGGGTAATAATATGGACATTTTGGAACTTCAGTCTACACCTGCTAGTTTCTTTAAAACATAAAGAATATTAATCTGTGGTCCATAAATGAGCTTCCTGAGGCCTTTGATTCCATTCTAATTGCATGTGAGTTTTAAATATGTGATCATTCCAGAGGGTTCTTTATATTTTTAAAAGGAACTATAACCTCTAAGAGGTTAAGACTCACTGCCCCAAGAGGTTGTGGGTAGCAAGACAGTTAATGAAATTAAAGTACAAAACTCTCTATGATGGTGGGATATTTGACATGCCTACTGGGAAGCCAGCTCCAGGGGGCCCACACATGGTACCATGAGGTGGCAGAAGAGGAACATGACAGTAACAGAAGAGAAGGGTGCTTTGTGTTATATGTAAATAATTTGGGTGGTTTTATGAGATTTGGGGGGTTTTGTTTGTTTGTTTTGTTTTCTGGAAGTGTGTCTGAGAGAACTGAAAAGATATGGAGACAAGGGTATTTGTGTCCTTTGCTTCCTCCATCTGATTCTGTTCAGCCTATTGAAGCAGGTGCCTGCCCATGGCCTCAAAGCACTTCCTGTTTCTCTGCCCACGGGCGTGACTCAATCTGCCAGCACCCACAACTCCATGCCTGTGTCCTCTGCTCCCTAGAGCCTGCTCTGTCCATACATAAAAGACCGGCCAGAAGTGTCAGAGAATTAACACTCCCACTTCATGCTCTATCACTCCCGAGGTGGGCTGATTCTGAGCACCTGTCCTCTGTCTCCCAGGGCTCTCTGGCAGGATCCAGCTCCAGTTTCCCACACTGATAACTTGCTTGATAACGCACCTTTCATTGGCTGCCTGTCTTCTTTTCTCTCTTTCCCACTCTGTTGGAGTCTTTTGGGGCCATCTCCCAAATAAACTATTGGTGCATCAGTCTTTGTTTCAGAGGCTGATTCTAAGGAAATCCAACTGAAGCAACATCCTTGATTTAATTGATTATTATTTTGCACTGGGGATTGATAGTAGAAGTGCATTGCTGAGCTACATCCCCAGAACTTCTTATTTTTCTAACTTTTTTTTTTTTGAGATAGGGTCTTGCTAAGTGGCTTAGGCTAGCTTCAAACTTGTGATCCTTCTTCCTCAGCCTCCTGTGTAGATGGGATTACAGGTGTACACCACCAAACATGAATATTTTATTATTTTTTAACCTTAACCCTCCACTTATTTTTCTGATTAGGGTAAAGTGCTTATTTTTGTGAAAAGACCACTATACTCTTAATGATGTTCACATGCATGAATGTGGTTATGGAAATCATAGGTAGTATACATGGGAATAAGACCAACTGTCTGAACTGAAGGGTTTTTAGTCTAGAGGGCTGGGGTTTGGGTGGAAACAGGACACAAAAGTAAACACACAGCTGAGAAAGAAGACAGACAGTTATGCATTGAAATATTTGTTGGAGAAGTCCTGGTGCAAGAGAGACCCCTGGGGAATGGACCGGTTCCACTTGGCTGCCTGTAGGAAGCAGCATTTCAGCCAAGGGTCTCACTTAAGGCAAGACAGACAGAAAATACGGTGTCTTGCTTGTCATCTGTGGGATATAAATGAGTTTGGGAAATGACTAGACACTTGGAAGTAAAGATGGACAGATAAGGGTATTGATTAGTGGGTACAGAACAGATGTCTATATGTGGGACAGTTCCATGAAAATAATAACCTAAGGGGACACACTATTTCCAGACTTAAATGAAAGTAAATAAAGTCACAGTAGAGTTCAGATTCCAATAATTAGGACCATTCCCTTCTTGATTCCCTTGTTGAACCCACAAAACATAATCCCATGTATTGAGTCGGAACAGCTACTAAACAGACAGACATGCTGAACAGTCCAGCTCTTGGGAGCTCTATCTAGGGAACCTCTCATCTGGGAGAGCCAATTCCAGCCCCAGTGTGACCCCTTGTACTTTATCAGAGACCCAAAGGGTGCAAGGCCTGAAGTGGAGGAGAACCCTCATCTGCAACACCACCCAGGCCGGACTCCAGCTCTACTGAGGAAGTTGGAGGAGCTCTGCACATCTCTGCAGACTGAGGATTCCAAGTTTGCAGCATTATTCTAAGGCCAAGTTGGATGGGGTGGGCCAATTTGGTTGTCAACATGTGAAAAGGTGCTGACTGCCATCTAGTGGATGTTGGGTTGTATGACTCCAGGCCCCCCATGCTCCAAAGCTGAAGTAGAAAAACACAACCATTGCTAATTTCAGCTCTTTCTGTGTCTCTCTAGCTTGAACCAGGAAGACCGTTGCCATCCCCCAATGACCTCAAAAGAAAAATACTCATCAAAAATAAGCGACTAAAACCTGAAGTTGAAAAGAGTAAGTCAAATACACGCACAAATAGAAGCATGTGTTTGGATAGTACAGCTGTCTAACATGAAATTCATTGTAAAACCATCAAATTTGGGGGGAAGAGGTGTAATGATGATGTTAAGTATACTTTCTGTAGCAAAATTACCACAGTTCCATTTGATTTCAGTTTGTACATAGACTCATTCATACAGTAGAAAAAGTACATTCATACAAGGATATGCCAGAATTTGCAAGTGTCCTGAGGAAAAAAAGTGAGAAGCAGAAGAAAAATTTTGTATTACGATGCATCTTGTTATGCTTTCTTTAAGAAAAGTTGTACTTTCCCCACTGATGTACAAGACAAGACTATTTCCCAGTAGTATCCTTAATGCTGACTATTGGCCATTTTTTATATGCTCCCAATTATTTGAAGAAAAATACCTGAATAGTTCATTTGTATCTTTTGATAACTAGTTCCTTTGTACATTATAATTTGTGATTTGTCCATGCATATTTTCCCATTTTTTAAAAAAGTAATTTCATTTGTCTAGCTTACTTACTTACAAGAATTTTTTTTACTTAGGATAATAACCCCAGTTATATTAGTTGCAAATATCTTTTATCCTAAAGTTTTGTTCTCTCTACTGTGCATATCTCTTTTCTATCACTTCACCATCATTGTTTGTAAAACTTGGTCTGTGCCAGATTCTCAAAATTAATGGGTGTTTGTTTTCTGGGTTTAAATCCTGAATCCTCCTTTCAAATGTAGAAACCAGAATTTTGGACAGTTCACCATATTCTAGTGGCAGCCCTTCTTCATGTGTATACAGTGTGGTTGATGCACAATTCTTACAAAAAAATAAGACCAGCAGGAATGGGGAAGACAGTGACCACTGCTAAACCTTAGGGCATGGTCAAGAGGTGCCTAAACAACATATTTCTTTTCCTTCATCTCCATATCTGACATAAAGCCCAAGTTTTGTAAGTGATCTAACATCTGTCACCATCTCCTTGTTTCTTCATAATAACAGAACAGCTTGAAGCTTTGAAAAGCATGATGGAAGCTGGGGAATCTGCAGCTCCAGCTAGCATCTTAGAGGATGACAATGAAGAGGAAATAGAAAGTGGTGAGTTGCTATTTCAAGTGATATATTACAATACTTTGTAACGTAGGTAAAACATGTGTTTCATTGGGTCCTTTATAGTGGTTACATTATAGTTTTAATACTCAGGTGTGTATTTACAGATCAGCCTTCATCTTTCATTATTTTTGATCCTTTTTTTTTCCAAATATTATTACTTCTAACTTACCTGGGCATTGGAAACTGGCTTAGTCATCTCCCTCCCTGTGTGTGTCCAGCTGTTCAGCAGAAATTCACAGCCAGAGATAATGGTGGTAATAGCCTGGGAATGTAGAATGAAAGAACTTCAGGTAAATCATTGGCTTGTGTTTAGAAAGTGAACGAGAAACTAAGAGACAACATTTAAAATTTCAAGTTCAGGCTGGGGTGTCGCTCAGCAGTAGAGCACCTGCTTAGCTTGTGAGAGGCCCTGGGTTCTATACCCAGTACCAAAATAACATAAACAAACAAAATCCAAGTTTAAATGCCTTCAAATAATCCACTGCTCAGAATTATCTATATAAGTAGATAATTTTACCAAAGGCGTCTTAGCCACAAATATTTGATTATTCTTAATTGTTTATTTTGTTTTTGCCATATATCCACAACCATAATGTTTCGTTTAAAATTGGGATTGGCAGTACAAGGTGGCTTACACTTATAATTTCAGTTACTCAGGAGGCTAAGGGAGGAGGTTTGCAAGTTCAAGGCCAGACTCAGCAAATTTGTGAAACTAAATAATTTAGAAATACAATAATTCAGAAATTCCCATTGAAAAGTTTACTAAATAGAAACTAAAATTCCTAAAGGGAAAGTCTTCACTTATTATCTTAACACTTAAAATATGATTTTAGGAAAGTTGGTAAAAAAAAAATGTTAAAAACAGTAAGCTGTGAGAATTAACTTGTCTTATTCATGACCCCTTAATAAAGACTCCTGACTGTAGAACCAATGTCATACTTCCGTTATGTTTATGTTGTGGCAGGGAGGATTTGGGAGGCCAAAGATATCTGATTATCCAATTTATGCCTTCAGTAGCTATTTATCTATTACTGTGTAATAATCCACCCCAGACTTGGAGGCTTAAAACAACACTTTATAATTATCTCTTATGGTTTTGTGGGTCACCTGGGCTTGTGTTGCTGGTTCTCCCTTGGGCTTCTCATGCAGTTATTGGCAGATGACATATGGGGCTGGCATCATCTGAAAGTTTGGTTGCACTGGTTATCCAAGGTGACTCTCTCACATGGCTGGCAGCAAATGCTGGCTCTTGGCTGGGAACATAACTGGATTCAGTGAGAAGAGCGCACACTCGGGACCTCTGGGATTTGGGCTTCTCACAGCACAGTGGCTAAGTGCCTATTTAGAGTATACAAGAGCCTGTATCCCAAGCGGTAAGAAGTAGGAGCTGCTGAATTCTTTAACAGTTATGCTTAGAATCGGTGCAGCCTCACTTCCTCTCCGTGCTATTATTCATCAAAGAAGTCTTAGCACTGCCCAAATTCAAGAAGGCAGGTGAGTAACAAGTTCTCATTGTGGAAGAACACATTAAGGGTAGCTCGCTCTTGATGTAGCTGTTTTGGGAAAATACAGTAGTCAATTGTATTATATTCTGTTATATCATATATCTATTATATTATTTTGCATATAAAAATATGTAATATATATAAATATATAATATATAGTATAATATAAATTTTATAAATAAAATATAATAAATAAATAAACCTAAACTACATTTAAGGACAAAGTATCATAAATATATGTATATATTTTAACAGATCAGCAAAATACTGCTAAAATGCAAAAAAAAAAAAAAAAAAAAAGGTAAATATTAAGCAAAATCAGTTCCATGATTTAGGTTAAAATTTTAAAGATGGGAACTGAAGACATGTAAGACATTGCCAATACTGTAATCTAGTAAAACAAACTGCAGAAATAAGGGAATAAATGAAGAAGAAATATAGATTAATAATAATAGCTACTAGCATTGTAATACCAACTGGGCACCAGGCAGCCTTCATTACTGCTTTATATAACCTTCGTCATCCAGCCCAATGAAATAAGTATGATGCTCCTTTTTTTTTTTTTTTTTTTTGGTACCACGGATTGAACCCAGGGGCAATTACCCACTGAGCCACATCTCCAGCCCTTTTTTGCATTTTATTTAGAGACAGGCCCTCACTAAGTTGCTGAGGCTGGCTTTGAACTCACGATCCTCCTGCCTCAACCTCCTGAGCTGCTAGGATTATAGGCATGCTCCACCATGCCTGGCCACTTACCATTCTGAAAGACACTTTCTTCCTTCTTGGCACATATGCTAATGATTCTTCAAGGCACACAGCTTCTAGTAACTACCATCTTATTCCAAAATTGAGATTCTAATTTTATTTTGTATATAAATAACCCCATGGCATAGTACAGCAGTAAAATAAATACCTGAAAAGATATAATAATCCACTGAATTTCCTTTTATGGGCACAGAGGCCCCTTCTGACCTAGTGATGTATACAATTCTTAGATTTCCTCAACTACTTGGCCTCAGTTCTGGTCAACCAGTTGGCTGCAATTGCCTTGGTGTCAACAAAGATCCAACTATATATAGGTTACTAGAGCCTCTAATTTAGATACGTTGGCATAGAGGGCAGAAGGAAATCAGCATGGTTCAAGAGGGCAGTCCTGCCTAGAGGTTGTGGAAAATAGAAAAGACTCTTAGTGAAAGAACTGCCTAACCATTAGACTAAGTTTAGACTCAGAAGAGCCTCTGACTCCTGGCCCTAGGAGACAAGCAGTGGGTAATACCAAAATCACATATGTTGTGGTGTGTTTGTGCGCTCATGCACCTTCAGAAATGATACTGTGCATTTGTGTACTCCTTAAAAGTAGTAATTATTAAATGTCTACCACTTGTATGGGACTCACTCCTTGTCTTCAGGTACTTATATCTGGCTGAGCTGGTTAGATGAAACACACAGATTGAGTATTCTTTATACAAAGCACTTGAGAATTGAAGTGTTTCAGTTTGGGGAGTTTTTTCAGATTTTGAAATATTCACATAGACTTTTTTACCAGCTGAATACCCCTAATTAAAATAAAATGAAGATTCAAATTGCTTTGAAATCTGAAAAAAAGTGTCATCATCATGATGCTCAAAAAGTTTTGGATTTTTCAGCGTGTCAGATTTCAGATTTTCAGTTCACAATTTGCAGAGTATATAGGTCATGAAAATCTTTTGTCATGTTCTTCCCAAGATTTCAGGCAAGGTCTGACTGCTTTCCAGTAATTTGGGTTCATGAATTTTTCTTTTGTTTTTCACACAGCTGACCAAGAGGAGGAAGCTCACCCTGAGTTCAAATTTGGAAGTGAACTTTCTGCTGATGACTTGGGTCATAAGGAAGCTGTTGCAAATAGTGTCAAGAAGGTCAGAGTCTTCATGGCCCTTTTCTTTCACAATGTGGAGCTGTTATGAAATTTTGGAAATGTTTCAACTACAAGAGGATAAAGTAGCCTATCATTCCTTTTAATTGCACAAGATAGAATTTTCTGCTGGGTGACCCAGATTTCACACATACACAATATTAAGTTAAAAAGGACATTTAAATTACTTATCAGCCATGCCCAGTATTAACCACAATTTATTTAGCCAGTTTCCTTTAAACACTATCATTTATTATGTCATTTAAATATTTTTGTTTTTTGTAATATTGTAGGTGGGTAGAGAGACACCCACAGTGTCCCAGGGACAATGGTCACCTGTTAGAATCATCAGAAAATAACCCTTGAATATTCTTCCATCAGAGAACCACTAATTAATATTCCCCTCCTAATGTAGAGTAAGCATAAAAATATTTCCAACCACTTATTCAATAAAAAAAATTTATTAAGTACCAATTATATTTTAGACACAGTCTAGGCTATCACGATCTAAAAGGGTCAAAACACATTTACTTTCTACCCTTTGGTAGCTTGTGGTCTCCTACAGTTTAGAGACATAGATGCAAATAGACTGTGAACAGATAAATAATTATGCAGTTCGATTTTTCATAAGTGCTACTGTGAAAATAAAAACAAGTGCTAACTTGGAGACTAATGAGAATAACAAGGTGGCAGGAATAAGAAACCCGGAACCCAAAGGAGAAGGAGGAATTTATCATACACAGAAAGAAGAATAACTTTCCACATAGAGGGAACACTACAATAGCAAGCACAAAGATGGATTGAAGGAGCAGCAGAGTGGAGCAAGATGAGATGAGGTGGATAGCCAGCAACTAGATGATGCAGGACTTCAGAGGCTACCATGAGAAATTCAAATTCAAAGTGAAATATGAAGCCATTGAAAAAGCAGGAGGCATTGTAGCCAGATATGAGTTTTAGAAGATCGTGCTTCTCACCATATTGAGACTAGTTTAGAAGGAAACAAGAGTGGAAGCAAGAAAAATAGTCAGGACAGAAAGAGCCCCTAATGGTGAAACTGGACAGTAGAAAGAGGACAGAATGGTTTCAAGATGTATTAAGGAACCAAAACGATACAAATCACTGATGGATTGAGTGTTGTGAGTGAGGGAGAAAGAAGAAGGTGACCTTCTGGAGTACTTTTCTGAGGAACAAGGTAGACTGGAGGAGGGAAGACTGGAAAAGAACGAATTCAGGAGTTCCCAACGGGATGGGTGATCTCAGATGCCTGTGAGATAGATACTCAAGGAAAGGTGTCAGGCATTGACATTTATCTCTCAGGTTCATTTCCCAACTGTCTCTCCTTGGGTAAGTTACTTAACCTCTCTGTGTCTTCATTTCCTCATCTGCAAAGTGAAGATCATAATCCTTTTGTTGTTGTTGTTGGATTATTATGAAGAAGGGCCTGGCATATGGTAGCACCTATGAAAGTGTAGTTGCTGCTACCCTCTTATTTTCATCTTTGTTCTCATTATCATCATCACTAGCATCATCATAAGCTAAATCCAGAAGAGAGGTTGAGCTGGGAGTTCAACAGGTCATATTTGATCCATGGAAATAACTGAGATGATCCATGGGGTGAGTGGAAAAGAAGGCCCAAGTAGAACACTAGTTTAAAAAGGGTTCACAAGAGAGGAGCTAGGAAAGAACAAGATAGGGCCCATGAAAACTAGGAGAGCACTGTTAACCCAGTGGTTAACTGTGGAATTCTGTAGAGTTTCTGAGTAACAAGTCTGAAGAGTGTCCATTGGATTGGTAGCATGGAGGTCACTGGTGAAGTGTCAATGGAGTGCTGGCGGGGAAGGGTACTGGAACATAGAAGGGATAGCAACTGTGCTTTTGAGAAGTTTTGCTGTGAATGGGAGCAGGAAATGGGCTGGTAGCTAAAGGTAACCTAAGGAGTCAAGGGAGTGTTATTTGTAGGGTGAAGAAATCTGGAGCTTTCTTGCACGCAGCCAAGGATGGTACATCAGAGAGGGAGAGATTAATCTTCCAGGAGAATAAGGGAGAATGCCTGGGAATTCCTTGAGAAGACAAGCACTGACAGGATGATGGTGATATGAAAGTGTGATCTTGATGGGAGCAAAGATATTTTCTCTGTGGCTACAATGGACAAAGATGTAGGTGGACGGATTTGGTGGCAGGAAGAGGAGACTGTAATGATGAACAAAGTCAAAGAAGCATTGCCATTGGACTCTCCCTTTTCTGATCTATGAAGTACATTGAGAATGCTGTATATCTACTAAGGCTCAAAGAGTATTATTGTACCACATGAAGTCATCAATGCTCTCTTAGTCAGTTTGTGCTGTCATAACCAAAGCATCAAAGACTGGATGACTTAAACAACAGAAATTTATTTATTTCTCAAAGTTTTGGAGACTACAAAGTTCAAGATTCAAGTGTGTTGGCCAGTCAGTTCTTGGTGAGAGCCCAGTTTATGTCTACACATAGTGAGACAGAATGAGAAAGCAAGCTCTCTCTCATCTCTTCTTCTAAGGGCACTAATCTAATCATGAGGCTCCCTGCTTATGATCAGAATACCTCCCAGAGTCTCCATCTCCAAATACAGGCGCTCCTTGACTTACAAAGTGATTTTGATAAACTCATTGTGAGGTTAAAATCTCATAGGCTGAAAATGCATTTAATACACCTCACCTATGGAACATCATAGCTTAGCAGCATGGTACACTGTATATTGCTGGTTGTTTACCCCTGGGATCATGTGACTGAGTAGGAGCTCTGGTTTACTGCTGCCACCCAGCTTCCCAGAAGAGCATCATACCAAGAATTCAATCAAAACTGAAGCACATTTTTGCACCATCATACAGTCAAAAAATCACTTTTGCGCCGTCGTACACTCAAAAAATCCTGAGTTGAACCATCAGTAAGTTGGGGACCATCTATACTATCACATTGGGAATTATGGTTCCACCACATAATGTTAGAGATGTTAGAGACACAAACATTGAATCTATAGCAAATACAGAGACATGAATGCTGAGCTACTGAAGAGTGACCACTCATGCTGCCATTTATATGTCAGAGGACGTAGCCACATTGATTATTTTCATTTCCCAAGCCCCATGACTAAATCACTAATGAACTTATTACAATAAAGCATCTAAATGAGTGAAAACCATCAACAAAGGAAGGAGATAGCGTTAAGAATACAGCTCTTTTGAAATATAAAACCATGAGGTCATCACATCTGCGCAATACCTTTTTTTCTTTCTTTTGGTCCATGGCTTTCCACTAATTTCCCATCTTAACAAATACATAGAATCATAAGTTCATATATATTTATTTAAATATTTACACAAATATAACTAATAAATTTGTAATTTTGCCCTTTAGGGAAGTAAACAAATCATTTTCTTTCTCTAATTTAGACTTCAGATGACCTTGAACATGAAAACAACAAAAAGGTAACAAAATAATTCTCTTGAGCATTTTGCCTTCATTAGGAGACACGCACATGTGGCCCTCTAATATTGAACATTTTCTACTAAGGACTGTTGTTGTTACTCTGTCCACTGTCCCCCCATCCGTGGAATACCAAGCTGAGCATCTATAGGTATAATGCATCTAATATAAGAATTTTCAAAGAAATAATTAATTACAATAATAAAATGATTAAAATTCTGATAAACTAAACTAGGTAAGATAATTATCCTAAAAAATAGGCGTTTAATGCAGTAAGATATTTCCTTAGTTGGAATTAGAAATTTCAGTCCTTGAAGGGGGTGCATAATCATCAGCATGTTGAATATGAAAATAGAAATGATCTAATAGGTCATCAGATTCATATTGTAGAACAGCAGAAAAGTGATCTGAGCTCTCACAGCATCCATGTCATGGAAGATCCTTAGGTAGTTTCCACTGCACACCTTCTGGAGGTTTCTTTTGATGTTAGTAGACATTAGCTTATTGTAAGGAAGGTAAAGTAACATTGTCATTTTCTTTTATCCTCTTCAAAGTTCATCATGATGTTTTAAGTGTCTTGTTAAGTGTGTTTGGTCTATTATACAGTAGTAAGACTGAAGACCATCTCAGGCAGAAATTTGCCTTCTATGTTGACTCTGACCTTTGGGAGCTGCAGACTGCTTTGCTATCTACAGGGTCCTATCTTATTTACAGTGAGACCCTACCTTCTCATTGTTTAAACAATTAATTTGAAAGAAGTATGGGTAAATCAAATCACAAATCTCCCAAAATGATTATGGGACAGAGTAAAATTTTATAAGGCAGTGGAGTCAACGGTACAGAGTGGCTGTTTGGTAATTAACATTAATTTGCTAAATTAACTTAATCCACAAGGCCTTGGTCTTCTCATGTGGTCATTCGTAGGACTATAATCCTCCTGACAAATAACAATATTAATGAGGATGTGCATGCTGGTGCCTAGCACATAGCACAGGAATTGTTTGTAATCATTAAACACACAAGAAGAAATAGATGTGGGCCTCTGCCCTTTTATGGAGGTTTAGGGACTGCAAATAAAAAAATCTATAAAAACAAAATTAAGTTGCATTATTTGATTATTTATCTTAGTCTATTATCGGTGAAATCAGTTTGATGATTTAGAATGTTCAGATTGTTGTCATCAATAAGATAAGCAAATAGTCTGACTGGTTTTTCACTCATGGGTTACATCGTGTGATTAAGCATCCTCCTAGATTCAATCTGTGCAGAAAGTTGAGCTTTTCAAAGTTGTTAACAAAATGTTGACCACTTAAACGTACTTTCTGTTGTTGTTGTTTTTAATTTTTTTATTTAAGAGACCTGGCCTCACTATGTTTCCCAGGCTGGCCTTGGACTCCTAGACTCAAGTGATCCTCCTACCTCAGCCTCCTGAGTAGTGGGGCAACAGGCATTATTTCTGTTGGTTTTGATAGTTATGTTCAGATTTCTCAAGGAATAAATAAAATAATTTGCTTTCTTCCCCTCCAAAGTCATATAATTTCAATGTGTCCTGTGTCACTTTATTAGAGTATTTTAAAAATACATCCTTTAAAAATAAATAAACCACCATGTATGTGGCTGAAATTGTAGAACAGTGCTACTATACAGTGTGGTCCTCAGACCTTCCCCTTGCCAGCACCTTATTTTAAAATTTTTAATAATTTGAAATTATAAAATCGTAAACCCCTGTGCCTCACCCAGACTCACTACAGCAGAAATTCCAAGGATGGAGGTCAGGAATCTGTTTCAACAAGTGCTCCAGGTGATTCTGAAACACACTAAAATTTAAGATTCACTGTTTTTGACTTTGTACCTCAGCTTAGGAAAATATGAATGATAATATTGCTGTAAATACCTCACAGCATTTCTGTAAGACTCCAGTATCTTTTCTTGGATGTTTTAAAGTCCCTTGAAAATCTAATAACAACCCAAACACATAAAATAACTTAATATTTTCTGATTATCTCCTTTTGCATCATCTGGACTATCATAGAGATTAAGTTTTAAAATCATCTTTTAACATAATTGAGGTACAAACATTCTTTTGCTTCTGAATTTGTGTGTAAATTAGCTTTTTAATGTCTTTTTAAAAACTGTTTATCAATGCATTATAATTACAGATTATACTGAGATTCGTTGCTACATATTCCTACATTCACACAATATAATTTAATTTGATCAATTTCATTCCCCAGGACCTTCCCTTTTCCTTGCAAATTATCTTTAGTAAGGAAATTTGCAGCCTGTATCTGGGAGTCCCTCTGAAGCCATCAGCTAATCTGTTTTCTTCATTGTGTTTGCAGGGCCTGGTTACTGTAGAGGATGAGCAGGCATGGATGGCATCTTATAAATATGTAGGTGCTACCACTAATATCCATCCCTATTTGTCCACCATGATCAATTATGCACAGCCAGTGAAGTTTCAAGGTTTCCATGTGGCTGAAGGTAACATCAAAGCCTTTTTTATCTGTTTATCTTTATTTTTTTTAATATCAATGAGTTCCAACCTAACTTGTGCTGTTTTCCTCTTTTGGGGTGGGCATCTCTCTTACTTTTGTTTCACAGGCTGGATAGCCACAATCCTAGGCATGCCTTGGGGTTGCATTGCCATTCTCTACATCAGCCACATGGTGGCTCTGAGAGACTATGGACTTGTTAGCCTCTAGTATTCCGTATGCTTTCACAAGACAGCTTTATTTTTTTTTCTTTAAAATAAATAAATAAAACATGAGTTTATCTTTGATTGACAGAAAATATTTGTACATATTTATGAGATACCATGTAAATTTTTTATTTATATGCACTTAGGGTAGTGGTTACCAGTGTTTAGAGAGAATAGATGTGAGGGAGCCGAGGGAGGTTTATCAATGGGCTAAAATATTATAAGTTCTAGTGTTCTCTGGCACAAGACGTGTTTAGTCAAAAGTTGGTTTCCAAAAGCATAAGAACGAATTTAAAATTTTTATTATCTTTTGTGGGCAGCAGAAGGCATCATGACCTTCAAAAATACATATTTCAGCAATTGGGGTACACATACTTTGTTTAGTGACTCCAAATAGATTTCAGGACACTTATTTTTCTTAAGTAAGCTATCTCCATTCATAGGATATTAATGAATCTAAAAGCAATTGACATGATCATGGCCACTAAAGCCTGGGGACTCTGGATGTAGCTATATTTATTGCCTGTCTTTCTGGGAGGGTTTGATGGCAGGGTTGCTGAGTGCATCTTTGCTTTTCTCTTACAGAACGCAACATTCATTATAACATGTCTTCTTTTAATGAATCAGTTGGCCTTGGCTACTTGAAGACACACGCGATTGAATTCGTGAAGTATCCTTGGGTGTTGAGTGGAATGGGCAGTTGCACATTTGGTTGGGCAACAGTCTCTGAAATAAATCAATGGCTAATATATAATTTTGATTGTAGAGGTAATAAAATAATATGTGTGAAAGAGCATGGCAGCTGTGACAATCTGCCCAAATGAAAATTGTCCTCCAAGTCTGCAGAGTGAACTGTGGTCTGTTTCTCTCCCAAGCATCACTGGTAAATGGGAACTTTGTTCTGGGTTGCCTGTAGGTTGGTCATTATTGGCCTGCACCTCTGTTGTTCCAGCTCTATGTTGTTTATTTACCTCAGCTGTGGTACTCTTTTTTTTCTGTTTTCCTTAATAAGTTACACAGTTACAACAAACGGCAAATGAGTCGCATTTACCCCAAGGGAGGCAGAGTCGATTCCAGTAATTACATGCCTCAGATATTCTGGAACGCTGGATGCCAGATGGTTTCACTGAACTATCAAACCCCAGGTAGGAGCTGATACCCAGTGACCCCCAAATAACACTTTGACAGGGTGGTGTTGGGAGTTGCCATCGGTTAGCTGTGGGCATGTTTTCAGGGAAGCGAACATATGGCAAAACAGTGTTTTCCTGGATTTATATAATGGTGAGAAATTCAAATCCCCAAATAGAACAAGAAGACAGTGAAAGACAATGTTTTGATTTATACTGAAATTCTTTTCATAATTGCCATGATTACTCTGCTATATAGTATCCTCTATTCCTAAATATTTCTAATATTTCTTACTTTTGGATCAGACTTGTTATCTTTGTTTCCAGAGGCAGAAGAATTGAGTGAGAAGAATTTAAGTATTTTGGTACAGTAACTAAATCTCATTTCTCCTTTGGAAAGTTCCCTTGGCTACCGCAAATATTCAACAAATTTCAAGGACACAGTGTCACCTCACCATATAAGTACAGAATATTACATAGTAAAACTCCCCTTAAATGATATGTAAGGAGTTATATATTTTTAGAAGATCTAATCTATAAATTGGTCTTCCAAAGTATAATCAAATATGGGCTACATGTGTATAATATGCTGATCCTTTTTTCCTGGGATTAGAGGAATACTTTTTAAAAAAAGTTTTCAAAGTTTGTGTAAAGAGCCTATGATCACAACATTAAGATGAGAGATAACAAAAGAGAATACATAGAAATATGTCACAAAACCCACTTAACTTTATGTGGGTAATTCTTAGCATGGCTTTACAATTGTTAAAACAAAACACATATGTAAAATAGGGAATAGTAATTCCACTGAAATGCTGAAATGTTAAACAAAAATATGAAGTTGGAATTGGAAGGGAGTACTGGAGATAGAACCGAGGGGGCGCTGTACCACTGAGCTATAATCCCAGAGCATTTTATTTTTTATTTTGAGACAAGGTCTTGCTCAGAATGGTCTCCAAGTTGCAATCCTCCCACCTCAGACTCTTCAGTTGCTAGGATTAAGGTATGCACCACTGTGTGCAACTGAAGTTAGAATTCTACAAAGATTTAAAAATACGTTTTTTTCTTCTTCTTCAGTCCTTTGCTATAGGAGGATACCTTCCAAGTTTCCCATTTTGGGGAGCTTTTTCTTATCTAGTGTACTGACCCTATTTGAGAATCCCTGTCTTCCTCATTCCTTATTATCTGGACTAACTAGAAGGTCCTTTGACTTTCATCCCTCTGGCTTGAGCCTGAGCTGACTGACTATATTTCCCTCCTCTTGGGGGAGCCTCCTTCATGATCAAAAATTCCCCCTAAGGGCTTCCTCATTGTGCATGTAACCCCACAGTCCTTGCTAGATGAGATTGTTACCAGGTACCAGTGTAATCCTGAGTGTTTTTGTCAGGACAAAGCAAAATGACACTGCTGATTTACCTACTTAAGGAAGGGTCAGGTTATGTTCTGCATTGTCAGTGAGTCCATAATAAGGATTACATGGTCCTAAAGCATTTACTCACTGGGCCAGCTTGTATTTTATTCTTTAATATTAGGTTGTATGACAATATTTGGAAGAAGAAAAATCCAACCACTAACCATTTTTTTTTTCCTCATGAGAAAAAAAGAAAGCAAACGTTATCTACCTGCAAAAGAAAAATCCTGAGCCTTGCCCTGACAGAGTAGGCCCCACTAGAAGAATATTCCTTAAGTCTAATGCTGTGAGAAAGCCATCAATTTCATGTTATTCTTACTTGGCTTGTGTTGTATCTTAACTCAAGTTTTAGATATTTTTGTTTTGTTTTGTTGTTGTTTGGATTGAATCTGTGGGGTGCTTAACCACTGAGCCACATCCCCATCCCTTTTTATTTTGTATTTTAAGAGGCAAGGTCTCGCTAAGTTGTTGAAGCTGGCTTTGAACTTGTGATCCTTCTGCCTCAACCTCCCCAGCCTAGGATTACAGGCACATGTCACATGCATAGTTTTGTATTCATGCTGACCGTACTGGGTATCTCCAGCCTTGCCTTCCTCTGGGTGATAAGACTCATAGGTACTTCTAATGACAGCAGGTTAAATATCTCTAGTCTCAATATTATGTATTGATTCCATTTCTAAAAGGAATTCTGGGATTATCTTTATGAAAAACATACTTTATGCTTAATTCACATTAAACACAAGGTCATTTGAAAAACATGGAAAAGAATTATGTGCCTTAATCATAACCTGTGTTACCTCTGGAACAGTCTGATTTCCATTGTTTAAAATCATCCTGTTAGGGTCTTGTTTATCCAGGGAGATGAGATGCTAAATTATTTTTGTCTCTCGACAGATTTAGCCATGCAATTGAATCAGGGGAAATTTGAGTATAATGGATCGTGCGGGTGAGTAATGTGATTTAAGATGTTGTCACCTAGTTTCAGGACTCCCTACTACCACTTTAATGAATCCATGTCATTTTTAATTAGGGGCTGGTGAATGTAAGCTGATTTGAGGTATGGGATAGAAGTAAATGAAACCCCTAGATGGATTATATTTGCAAATATACATTCTTCATCTACCCCATTTTACTATGCAGGATTTTTTTATCTACAAGTTTTCAGAATCATATATACTCCAGAGCTTAATTACCTCACTATAAATTCAATAACAGAGGTTTTTTATATCTGAGGCAAGTAATGACCCATGCTCATTTGAACAATAACCAGAGACATGAGCATTAAATATGTGTACTTTTACTGATGACAAATACAGAAATGAAGTTAATTCCATGTATAATGAAATCATAGGTGTCAGGTTGAATTTATTTCAATTGAGGATAAACCTTTGTCCTCTCTTGATTCTTTTGCATGTCTTGTAAGTAGTGGTTATTAAATATTAGTGCTATGAATTTTGTTCCAGTTTACTTAAAAAGCAGTCTTTTAAAAATTTGTGAGCCAGGAAGTAAAATAGAAAATAGTAATTCCACTGAAATGCTGAAATGTTAAACAAAAATATGAAATTAGAATTTTTAGAGAAGTACTGGGGATGGGACCCAGGGGTGCTGTACCATTGATCTATAGTCCCAGACCATTTTATTTTTTTTTTGTTTTGAAACAAGGTCTCACTTAGACTGGTCTCAAGTTGCAGTCCTCCTACTTCAGACTTCTGAGTTGCTAGAATTGAGGCATGCGCCATTGTGTGCAGCTGAAGTTAGAATTCTACAAAGATTTAAAAGCTTTGTGGCCATTTTTTCCTTGCATCTGTCCTTGAACATTACTATAAATAAATAATATCAGATCACAGCCCAAAGGCCTCAGGGTTAATTCTGTGGAGTCCTGTCCCACTCCATAATGAGACTGTCAGACAATTAGTTTTTGACAGTGGCTCACCCTGTGAAATATCTTAATTTTCATTATTGAAAATAACCAGTCAAGATGCAAATTTTCAGCAGTGGTTGGGTAGGAAATGGCTCTTCAGAGTACACATGCCATACCTCTGCCTACCTGACAGATGGTTCTTTGCCAGTATGCCCATGTGCTCAAATGATAGCCCTGTCATCTGAAACAGTCACCACATACATTCCCAAGGGTGCATTACATTTTCCTCTGCTGTGTGCTTTAAAAAACATAAAAACTATAGTTAGGAAGAAAAGAGCCAAATGCATATTAACACATGGACATCGTAAGACTCTGGCTTAAACTGGATTCTATAAGGATGGAGAAGGAGACTCAGATTGGCCAAGTCAGAAAGGACTCATTTTCTTTGAACACAGCATGTCCTCTGTGGCAGGTGTTATTTTCTGATGTTCTTCATCATTATCTAAAAGGGCAAAAGCATCCTCCTCCATCCTCAGGACCCTCTACCTAAAAACCTACATCTTAAATTATAGATGAGGAAATAGAAGGATTCAGTGTTTCAAAAGCCATTTTTAAATTTTTTTTGGTTTCTAAAGTCTATGAGTACAATAAGCTTCCTCTGTGTTTTCTACCAGGTACCTGCTCAAACCAGATTTCATGAGGCGGCCTGACAGAACATTTGATCCCTTCTCTGAAACCCCTGTGGATGGGGTTATTGCAGCCACATGCTCGGTGCAGGTAACACCCCTACTCATCAGATTGTGTAAATGTATATGCAAATGGTCCTGGACAGAAAGCACTGGTAAAATATTTAATGTCAAGTTGCCAGATCCTTATGTCACTTATGTCAAAATCCGCTCCCCTCCTTATGTCTTTTCCATAGAAGATACATTTTTTTTTAACTAGTAAAATTATGAACTACTTTGGGTAAAATAAACTATCAAAAAATAACTACAACATGATGAAATTTTCTATAAAATTCTAGAAAATGTGAGCTATGGTGATAGAAAGTAAATCATTGATTGCCTCTGGACACAGTGGAAGGAGAGAAGGATTATAACAGAGCTCTAAAATACTTGGAGGTGATGGAAGTGCTTGATACCTTAATCTCAATGTTAGTTTCACAGATATGCTTACTTGTCAAAACTGATATGATCATACAATTTCAATATGTGCAATTTATGATAGTCCAGTTGTACCTCAAAAAAACCCTTTCAAAAGTATTAGCTACTAAATAATATGGAGGGGAAACTAATAAAGGGCTATAGTCATTTGCTAAGTAAATGAAAAAAAAAGTTATAATTTTGCACTGGTCATAGACAACCAATGTCAACATCAGTCAAGAGGTTGAGAAAAATAGGCCAATCCTGGTATTGTTTTCCTTTCATTTCTATGTGTGTGTCTCTCTCTCCCTCTCCCTCTCCTTCTCTCCCTCTTTCTCTCTCCCTCTCTCTTTCCCTCTCCCTTTCTCTCTTCCTCTTCCTCTCCCTTTCTCTCTTTTCTGGGGCATACCAGGGATTGAACCCAGGGGTGCATAATCACTGAGCCATATACCTAGTCCTCTTTTTAATTTTATTTTGAGAAAAGGTCTAAATTGCTGAGGGCCTTGCTTAATTACTGAGGTTGGCTTCCAATTTGTGATCCTTCTGCCTCAGCTTCCCAAGTCACTAGGATTACAGATGCGTACCACCATGCCCAGCTTATGTCTCTCTTCAAGACTTTTGAAAGAATTCAGTAATGGCATGATAGAATTTCAGAGCTGTGAAGATATCTTAGGGCATGCCTGAATCCATCACTTCTTGATTCTTAGGCATGGATACTAAGTGAGACAAAGGTGCTCTGGAAACTAATTATTTGTATTATATGATCCATGTATACTTTCTTCATTCTTTTTCTAGGCAGTTTTAGAAGTCATGACCTTTGCCAATAACTGGTTTTTTTTTAATTTTTATATTTGGTATTTGGTCAATAATGTTTTGATTTACTGAAGAATGTATACGTGTCCATTGTTCATTGAAATTCCCCCTTAAAAACACAATTTTTTATTTCCTGGAGATTCTTTGCTACTGATATTTGCACTGAGTTCACTTCTTTCTCTTTCATGTCTGTGTTGCTGAAGGTCATATCAGGGCAGTTCTTATCAGATAAGAAGATTGGCACATACGTTGAAGTGGACATGTATGGGCTGCCCACCGACACCATACGAAAGGAATTCCGAACTCGTATGGTTATGAACAACGGGCTCAATCCAGTTTACAATGAAGAATCATTTGTGTTTCGGAAGGTAGGACATTGTCAATGTGTCAAAGCCACACTGATAACATAGGAGCCACATTTCAGTGCACAGAACCTACTTGATAGAGGGACATCTTGTTTTAACCCGCCATCTTGTTTTCATCCTTTCTTCCAATGCGTAACTTCTATGGTAACTTCTGTATCTATGTCCAGTGATTATTGTTGTTTTTGTTTGGTCTGTTCCAAATTGCCTTTCCTCCTTAGAGGTGGCCACCTCCTATGTGGCAATGCTCAAGCTCGAGGTTTACAGTCTGCTGAGAATGTGAATTAACTTGTGGACACCATGGTACTTTGAGAAGTTCTTCCCTCCCCTGAAGTAGGTGGTGACTCACACTGTTCATTTAGCTGAGAGGTCAGGTTAAGATGCTACACTCAAAACTGAGACCAATAAATGCCATTACATGGGTCACTTTATATAATCATGTCCCTTCAGAAAGTGTGGAACCTGTCACTACTCACAGATTTTATGCTTCATATGTGAGTTTTCAGTGTTTTGCTTTTTTCTCTCGGTCCTGTATGCTGGATCATAAGAACAATCACAGCCTTCCTTCCGATATTCAGAATTTTTTTAATATTTATTTTTTAGTTGTAGTTGGACACAATACTTTTATTGTATTTATCTTTATGTGGTGCTGAGGATCAAAACCAGGACCCTGCATATAATAGGTGAGCTCTCTACTGCTAAGCCATAAACCCAGCCCTGATGTTCAGATTTTAATCTCTTAATCATTCTCCCCTTTTGATTTCCTTGTCAACTGAAGATGCTTTGAAAAAAAAAAAAAAAAAAAAAAAAAAACACATGCATTGGAAGTACTGCCAAAAAGGTCTGTTTTTCTCTCTCTTACTTGTTCTGATATTCTGACCAAAATGATTTCTCAATTCTTTCAGCATAGGCATTCCAGGTGGTTCTGCTCCATGTATATGTCACGGAACACAGACAAGCAGCTGCTTGTCTTGAAAGGTTAGGGATTATCCATTTTAGAGTACAGTAACTGGCTTATATAAGCCAAATTAAGGGAGATCTCTGTGGATTTGATAAATCAGGCCATTTTGAAATTTGGGTTCCCCAAACACCATTATCCTTGCACTCCCATCAGCATTCTTGTGATGTGGGGTGAATGAGCTGTGGTTTCCCCCTTTTTCTTCCCTGGTCTTTGCAATTAGTTACAGCTGGATATGTTGCGGGTATGAAATTGTGTTCTTTGGCATAAGTAATTATCCCCTTACACATTTGTAGAAATTCAGAAAGTTTTCTCGAGTACTCTTTTTTTATGAATAGGGAAATATCAACTTAGTTTTAATATGTCATATTTTTGACCCAGAAACAAAATGCCAATTCTGGATCCCTTTCTGTTCTTGAGAAGCTAAATTGCCTCTCACAGATATCAAGTGCTTTGTCTCCTTTCTCATTCTTGTTCCTTTTGTTGTTTGCATCATTATCACAAGGCAGAAGTGTCTTAAGCCTAAACCTCCCAATCACATAAGGAAAAAGAGTGAGGACAGTTGGTTGAACTTTTAACTAGACTCACCTCTTCATCTTCGTGGAGTTGGAATTAAATTATATTGTCCAGATGTAAATAGGCTAGCTACCCATTGCCTAGCCTAGACACAGCATTCAGATCAGCCAAGATGTCCTGGTTGCTCTCAAGAAGCTAATCAAAAGGCATTCCTAATTAAATACATCGGATTTTCTTTTGTCCTGTTGTTATTTTGTATCTTAATAGAGATTCTGCCATCTGAATTCAGATTTTATGTCCATTTATTCAGTTTAGGGATGACAGATGTCTTAAGATCAGCATATCTTTATATTTCTTGGACTATTAATGTTTTTAGCTGCTTCTTCCTCTATTTAAATATACAAAAAATGTGAAAGAAACAAGGATAATTCAAATGAATACATGGATTGTCTTTTACAAATGAAACATTTCAAAGGCACTTTACACATTCTTAAAAACAGGTGTGCTAAATGTCAGAGCAGCCCAGGTCATGAGACAGTTTATAGGATTAGAAGGCAGGAGCTGCCATGATTAGTCCCCACTCTGTCACTGACAATCTCTGAGGTTAATAAAAGTCACTGATTCTCAAAGTCTTCTTTGTATCACCCATGACACGAGGAGGAATGGGGAAAGATGACATGGATTTGAGTCATAATCTTTAATATTCATTCCAACCAACACTTTTGATGACTTCCAGAAAACCTGTTCCAATTACCTTTCTTAGTACGTTGGTCTTGTGGCTTACAGAGAACACCTTAGAAATGCTAATGAATCATCAATTCACTTTCACCATAAAGGTATATTTACAAGCAGTGTGGATTTGGTCCAGATTCTTAGAGTTGTGGTTCTTGGGAGCTGTGTTACAAAAACCAATGAGAAGTCTTGTTCTTTGTTTGCAGGTGATCCTGCCAGACCTGGCTGTCTTAAGAATAGCAGTATATGATGACAACAACAAGCTGATTGGCCAGAGGATCCTTCCGCTGGATGGCCTCCAAGCAGGCTATCGACACATTTCCCTTCGGAATGAGGGAAACAAACCATTATCACTGCCAACAATTTTCTGCAATATTGTTCTTAAAACATATGTGCCTGATGGGTTTGGAGGTAAGATAAGCAGGTGGTTATAGTATGATACAGATGTGGTACTAAATTATAGAATTGTAAAATATTCAGCCTATCCTGAAAAAAGGAATAACAATGATGTCCTTCCTGCCTATGCTGCAAACCCTGGTCATATTGAAGAAAGTAAGGATAAATGGCAACCTCATATTTCACAATAGGAAAATGAAAGGGCAAGGATAGACTATCTATAATGTCTTTTCTTATTTTAAAATGTTATGCTGCCCAGCAAAGTGGCTCATGTGTGTAATCCCTGCAGCTTGGGAGGCTGAGGCAGGAGGATTGCCATTTGAAAGCCAGCCTCAGCAAAAGCAAAGCACTAAGCAACTTGGTGAGACCCTGTCTCTAAATATATACAAATTAGGATTGGGGATGTGGCTCAGTGGTCAAGTACCCCTGAGTTCAATCCCAGGTACCAAAGTAATAATAATAACAATAAAATGTTATGCTTTTATAATATTTATTAATTTCTATAATTTTTATGAAGGTTTTATTTGTACTACCAAAGTGAGAGGAAAAAAGATATGAAACACTGTCTTATCAATTGGTATCACTCAACAATCTTACATTGAACTTGGTTAACAACGTACCTCAATTTTCTTCCAAATTCACAAGGCAATAATTTCTTAAAATTCCCAGTCATCCAACCCACATTGGCATTTCTAAGGTAATCTGTGAGAAGAACCCAAACTGTATCATATGATAGGATTTTGACTACACCCAAATATGTTAACTCTCCCTAGCCTCTAATAAACTAGGGACATAAAATTAAAAAGGGCATGATATTCTCAGAGTCATCATACAGAAGGAAATAGCCCAGCAGAGTGACCACATCACCTTAGCCAAGGTCTCAAATCCTAACTGTCCACTGATGGCTAGTGGTCTTGAGAACAAGATGGAACCACTCAAACATCTCGTTTTGTCACCTGCAAAGATAATACAACTACATCAAGTTCAAAAAGTAAATTAAGCTATGAAGGTTTTGTCAGTTTCAAAATCCATAGTACATATTCCTTCTTTCTTCCACTTTGTTTTTTTTTTACCAAAATTAAGTAAACTAGAAGCAACATGATATAGCAGCCGACAAAAGAACCCATAAAAGTGGAGGGGCAAGGGTGCTGTGGGGTTGGATAAGTGGAACAGAACAGGAGACCAGAAGCCTGGACTGTGTTTGGGAGTTGTGTCCCCACCTGTGGTAAACCCCCAAATCCTGCCTGTGTTGCAACACAACAATGGCCTGGAGGCATCAACTGATGCTTTAAATGATCTTCCACATATTTGAGCGTAGGAAACAGAGAATGTGTGATAAATACCTAATGTACTTTAGAAGTAGTTTTATACATCCATATGGTGGAAAATTTTAAAATTTCGCCCCTGTGTGGGTTAAATTTCAGATGAAACTATAATTCCTTTCTGGGAAAGGAGCCATTTGATTAGGAAAGAGGGAAATAAAATTTGTTGAGCTCCTATATTGTGCCAGGCAATTCAAAGAGAGTCCAAAAATGTGAAATTGTCCTGAATGGATGTGGGCATATGTAGATCTACGCTGAAGAAATATCTGTATTTATAATGCAACTTATGGCCAGTGTTGGCATTTAAGTATTGACCCAAATTAATCTCTTGAATAATAGTCCAACAAGTATTCTTCCCTACCATGTCCGTGTGACTGATTCTATTCTATTTTAGAAGTATTTGAAATTTTCATGCCATGTTACAGTTGATGGGATTCTGCAGTTGATGTCTTAACCTCTGATTTGACTTTCAAAGACAGTTGATTCAGAATTCACTGGACCTTTCTTTTATTTTTGAAGAAACTGAGGGCAAATATTACAAGGTTTAAAGGCCTTATTTGAAGATAACCAGAAAAGAATGTGGGAACCACCTTTCTCCAAATTCTTGATCATCTTCATGCCCTCTGAACTTACAGATGTGTTCATTTTCTTCTGCTTAGCCACCTCCCACATCCAGACCTACATAATAAACCAGTGGGCTAGGATATCTATAGAGTCCATGTTCCTAGAATATTTGATGTTCTCTGTTGATTCTGTAGGAACAAATTCAAAGTGAGACTGTATCATCACACACCAGCATTTTCTAGAGGAAAGAAATAGGTGTTGATATGCAGGATCACATTTTTATTTAACTAAAGAAAGATAATGTGTATTCATTACTTCATTCTCCAAATACATACAATAAGTTTATTCCATAAAAGTAAGGCAGCTAAAATATTTATCAGAAATTAATTCCGATGACCCAAAAAGAGAATAACAGTTCCCCATCAATCCTCTGCCCAGGGTGAACTCCTATTTACTTTTATCACATTTATTTTTACATTTTATAATAAAAAACTTGCATCTTAACTGTGCATCCTCATTTGCCCCCAACTCCCGCTTTTTTTCACTTAAAGGAGAATGTCCCATGTCTTGAAATATTTTTTTACATTTTTATCAGCTGCATAGGATTCCATTTTATTATTCTAGTTTAGTCTCTAAAAAACAATGAAGTCATTTCCACTTTTGTCTCTTAGAAACAATATTGATAAGCAACTCAGTGAGATCCTGTCTGTAAATAAAATACAAAATAGGGCTGGGGATGTGGCTCAGTAGTTGAGTGCCCCTGAGTTCAATCCTTGGTACTAAAAAAAAAAAAGAAAGAAAGAAAAAGAAAGATTATTGAACCTTAGAACCCTAAATATAAGGTTTTAGAAATATTTGTCATCATTTCCTGAAGATGAATTCTTTGAAATGGATTTATCACACCAAGGAGTACATGAGTATTTAAAGCTTCAGGTACAGGTTGCTGAATAGCAAGTGTATGATAAAAATTTTTCCAACATTTACCTATTTAAAGAATACATTGGTATTTCATTGATGTATTCACTGAAATAGTTTGTAACTGTTTTATAACTATTTTTTCTTCTTTAAGATATTTGTATAGTAGTTATTGTTTAGTATCTACTATACAAATAACAAAGAAGAAATGTAAAGCTGAAAAAGTGGTATACACTTAACCTGAAGAATTTTCCACCTGTGTGCACACACATATATATATATGGTTTATTCATATGCATAAATGTGCACACTGTATGGTAAATGTTGAAAGAGTAGTAGAGCCAAAGGGCATTGAGAACATTGAACTACAGAGTGATTAGCTGGAGTGGGCTGAGGGAGACTTCAGTAGTGGGACATTGAGAGATGACCCATCCTTAATCTGAAAATCTGACATCCAAAATGTTTTGAAATCCAAAACGTTTTGTCTTGGCAATTTTCTTTTAAGTTTTTTGGTTCTTTTCAGTTATACATGACTGTAGAATCCATTTTGATATCATTATGCAAGCATGGAATATATCTTATTCTGCTTAGTACCCCATTCTTGTGGATGTGCATGATGGTGGAGTTCACTGTGATGTTTCCATATATCTACATAGGACAATTATGTCAGATTTATTCCACTGTCTTTCCTTCTCCTATCCCCCCTTCCATTCCCTATTGTATAATCTACTGAACTTCTGTTCTCCCTGCCTCCTTATTTGGATTAGCTTCCATATATCACAGAAAATATTCAATCTTCAGTTTGGGGGGGGACTGGCTATTTCACTTAGCATGATGGTCTCCAGATCCATCCATTTACTGGCAAATGTCACAGTCATTCTTTATGGTTGAGTCATACACCATTGTGTATATGTATGTGTGTGTGTGTGTGTGTGTGTGTATATATATATATATATATATATCTCACATTTTCAATATCCACTCTTCTGTTGAAGGATACTTGGTTGGTTACATAGTTTAGCTATTGTGAATTGAGCTGCTATAAACATTGATGTGACTGCATCACTGTAGTATGCTGATGTTAAGTCCTTTGGATGTATACCAAGGAGTGGGATAACTGGGTCAAATGGTGGTTCTATTCCTTTTTTTGAGGAATCCCCATACTAATTTCCAGAGTGGTTGCATTCCTACCAGCAGTGTATGGTAGGACTTTTCCCTTTTACCCACACCCTTGCCAGCATTTATTGTTGCTTGTATTCTTAATAGTTGTCATTCTGACAGGAGTGAAATGGAAGTCTGTGTAGTTTCAATTTGCATTTTTCTAATTGCTAGAGATGTTGAACATTTTTTCATGTTTGTTGACTATTCATATTTCTTCTTCTGTGAAGTATCTCTTCAGTTCCAGACACTTATTTTTTTTGGGGGGGGAGGGTGTTAAGTTTTTTGAGTTCTTTATGTATACCAGAAATTAATGCTCTATCTAAGGTACAGGTGGCAAAGATTTTCTTCTATTCTGTAGGTTCTTTTTTCATACCTCCCACATTTTTGGAGAGGCAGAATTAATATTGTCAAAATGGCCATACTACCAAACGTGCTATACAGATTCAATGCAATTCCCATCAAAGTTCCAGTGGTGGTCTTCATATAAATAAATGGAAAAGGCAGTCATAAAAATTTATTTGCAAAAAATAAGAAACCCAGAAATAGCCAAAAACAATCCTTAGAAAGAAAAGTGAAACAGGAGGCATCACAATACCAGACCTTAATTATTCCACAGAGCTAGTAACAAAAACAGCATGGTATTGGCACCAGAACAGGCATGAAGACCAATGGAATAGAATAGAAGACACAGAAAAAAACTCACACTAATACAGTTATCTCATACTAGACAAAGGCACCAGAAACATACATTGAAGAAAAGATAGCCTCTTCAACAAATGGTGCTGGGAAAACTTGAAGTCCACGTGTAACAAAATGAAATTAAACCCCTATTTCTCACCCTGCACAAAACTCAACTCAATGTGGATCAAGGACCTAAGTATTAGACCAGAAACCCTGCACATACTAGAAAAATTGTAGGCCCCACACTAACATATCCTCTTAGGAACCGAATTTCTTAACCAGACTCCTAAAGTGCAAGAAGTAAAATAAATAATCAATAATTGGGATGGCATCAAAAAACTTTTCTTTTTTTTTCACATCATTTTGATGATG